CTAGTGACTAGTCATTTTAAAAAGCTCTAACTTTCTTTAATTTTCTTATTCCTTGCCCGATTTTGTTCAAATTTTCACTGATTTTATTCAAATCTTTTAAACTTTACAATAAAAGTAACTTAGTATGAAGGTTTTGGTTTCCTTTAAAGCCACTCTGAAGTGTTGGGAGCCCAACAATTTTCATGGCAAAATTTTAAATTGTCACTTAACAAACAATTCTGCATGGATTTTCAAAATAAATGTGTTTGAAGACGAATATTGATGAAAGAATACATAATAAGGGTTTTCTGCGTACAGTGTACAACACTAAACCTAAATTTGGCGGCGCTACATGTACATGTAGTTCACAAGTATGCCCATACTCTGGCGCCAGCAGCTTATGCGGCTAGCTACCAGATTCACCTCATTACGGTCACTCACTTCACTCTACAGTCTCTACTCCATGAGGGAGGATTCCAGCCAGGCGCCATTTTGAAAAGCGGTCATTGAAAAGCAATGTAGATAAAAAATGCGCTGCACAAGGAAACATAAGTGTACAGTGCCAGGAATCAAACCTACAACCTTTGCATCTCCCACCACTCTACCTTCCATTCTTTGACCCCGTTCTCACTCACTTTGAAAGTGGTCTTAGTTAGACCGCTCCAGAGGAACGGGTCTTGAGGAACGGTTTGCGAGCATTCACACTCCGAGCAGTTTTTTATGGCTCAAACCGCTCCCCGAGTCAAAGTGGTCTTGTTGCTATGGCAGCTCAGGTCAGCAGGTCAATTTTTTCGCGCGCGGAATACAAACCGAATGTACCGTACTACATGTTTCGCACGGAACGTCACTAGCTCACTTCCGGTCAAAGTACGCTTCGTTCACATTGCCAATAGAACGGTCCAAACCGCTCTTAATAAGACCCGTTCCTGAAGACCACCTCCCGAGGTGGTCTAAGAGCGGTCCAGAAGTCCACTTCCTGGACCACTTTGACCGTTCTCACTCACCTAAGAACTGCTCCTGAGGAACGGGTCTTAGTTAGACCGCTCCAACGAAGTGAATGAGAACGGGGTCTTTGAGAGGGAACCAATCCCCAGAAAATATGTTTCTCTAAATATTTGAGGTTCCATACCCACACACAGGCCGTAGAATACCAAGACTTGCCATCAAAAGATACCCCTGGGGGTGCTTCACAAAGATCCTAACTCAAACTTAACTCTAAGTTAGACTTGCACATTATGGAGAGCCATTTGTAGCCTTGAAATAAAATATATTCAAAGGCATAAATTCAAGTATTTTAGACTTTTTATCGATTCCACATCAAGAACATGAAATATCCTTGATAATAGGAAATATGAATGATTTGAATCACCTTTTCATGCCTTTTCAAATAACTTTTACATTAAATTTTACGAATTATTTTCATAAATGCAAATGGCTTTCCATAATTGTTAAGTCCAACTTAGAGATAAGTTCAACTTAGGATCTTTGTGAAACACCCCCTGGTCATTATGAGTTCTCAATTCAAAACCCTAACTGTGGGCTCATTAATGCATTCACACTAAAAAAGAGAAATGAATTGAGAACCCCTATGAAAGGAGCTAGTGTGAAACCCAAAATATATCAGCTTCAACATTATTAAAAGAGTTTTAAAAAAAATATATTACCCCCCCCCCCCCCTCCCCAAAAAAAAAAAAAGGTTTTTTAAAAAAATTGTCAGTAGTACAATGTTGTACACTCAAATGTACTCAAACATGGCCTGAAAATACTGAGATTCTATGCAGGCCTTCATATACACCTATGCAGGCGTATGGTACATGTAATTTTTTATCTCAAAACACATTGAGCAAGAAAAGTCCTCACAAGACTTTCTACAAAGAGTTCAAACGGTTTGTGTTTCTGTGTTTGTTAAAGTACTTGTAAAGTTGTAATGTACATGGTCTTTATTGTATTAGCTAATTCATCTTATTTGTTAATTCTATTTACTTTCCTTTAGTGGGGTACATGTAGTTTAAAACCATCCTGAACGGACTCAGCCCATCCCTTTTTAAAATAAAATCCTCTCCTTCACCCCTTTTCTTCAAAAACAAATACAAGGGAGTTCAATTGTCCATGGGAGAATACCAGGATACTATCAATAAAAGAGTACAACTCACAGGAGGGGGGGGGGGGGAGGGGGGTAGGGGTTCCATGACTTTCATTAACTTCCATGCCAATAAAGAGCTACGGTAAGTACATCGTAGCCTCATCATCATTACCATCATGAAGAGGACCTAAATGTAAGTCACCTGAAGGCCTTGTACACTATCACTTGGCTCAAGCTCTCAAAATAAACCCAAAGTGAGTTCTCTTCAGACTACCCAAATTAAATAACACAAAATAACAAAATATAGCAGAAGATAAGACACTCTATTTAGTTTTAAATCCTGTGCAGATCATTTGACCCGCTGACCTTTGCTACCCCAGCAACAGGAGCGATCTAGCTTGTTCGTGCTATACCACAGCAATAGGGACTTTTATATTCGCACGAAGACAATGGGGATTGCTACGGTCGACGTCCTTTTAATGCACTGCCTTGAATGGACGTCACATGTTTCAGTCCACGCAAATCTAAAAGTCCCTAACAAGAGCAGTCTAGCTCGTGAGTGTGAACATAAACGAAGCGTACCTCTGGAACGATCCTAGATCGATCTAGGAAGTGAATGAGAACGGGGTCTATATACATGTATGAGAGAATCTTGGAGCCCTTAAAGGGTCAACCAATACAAACCCATCCTAATCTAAATCTGTCATAATCCCTTTATTGTATTTATTTTAAGTATACCATACAGTTCTTACAACACCTTCCTGCACGCTTTACAGGTTTTGAGAGGAAGAAAAATTTGAACTCAATTGTTCCTACATGTAGGAACTCTTATTTCACCCAACACAGTACAAGACTAATACTACAATGTACAGTGTAGACCCCGTACATTTCACTTTTATACAATTATCATAAAACGATAGTATTTAAATAGTAGTACTAGTAGTAGTATAAAGCTCACTAAATGTTTCTAAGTAAACAAATTAACCTACACATCAGTACTGTTTTCTATTGCTACTACAGGTATGCACAACTGTATCCTTTCTGCTCCACTGGGTAGCATTCAAGAAAGTCGCCTTTCTTTCTGCTCATGTGTTTATTTGTAATTCATTAAACCCAACACTGTTCACAGGTTGAACGATAGTGCTGTAGCCGAACCGCCGAACCGAACGGAAGTTCGCCGAACATGGCACTTCCGAACCGAACCGAACACAAAGTCCTGATTCGGATGTTCGGCAGAAAAATGTCTACGTTTTTGCAAGCTAATAAACTTTATATTTACTTTTTTCCCATTTTCCGCCTTTCTGATTTATGCCTATCCAGTGGTGGGCGCGACTTCACTGGCGCCATTTAAATCCCAAATCCTGACCACGCGGTGGCAAGCCATAAAGCCATAAACACGAATACATGTGCGTGATCAAAACGTGATTAAAGTTCAGCTCAAACCCATTCAACAACAAAAATTATATTTTAATTGTAACAATATCGTACAAATTTTACAATATAAATAATGGAATAAATATATATCATAGTATGTTTTTTATTTATTTAGGAAAAATAGAGATTTTATATTTTTCCTATTAAAAATAAAAACTTAAAAAACAGTTATTAACGAGCCTGATTTGCTATTCAAGATGGCAGCTTTCTTGACTCTAGCATTAGACAACAACCGTCTCAGAAAATCTTTCAAAAATATCATTTATTGACAAATTGAAAACATGATTCTTTTCAAATTGAAAATAAAACATGATTCAAGACGGAAATAAGAATGTAAAGTAGTATCTTTTCTTCACAAATATTTACGAGCAGTTTTTTAATGTGAAATTCGTGCTGGTCGGAAGCAGGGTTTTTCATCAGGATTGGGCAGAAGTCCTCCGTGCTGGTCGGGCCTGGCCAGCCAGTCGGCCGGCCCAGTGCTGACCGCCGTGGCTATAACACTGCTTGCTATTACAGTGTATATTACCGAACCCCGACCCGAACCAAGTTCGGACGAACAAATCATTTACAATAAATGACATAACATTAAAAAAAAGGAGAAACTGTGGAATAACTTGACGAGAAGAAAAAGAAAAACATTTCAAGAACCAAGGCATTAAAACGATAGGTTTTGTATTAATTTGTAGGCACTAAAATATAAATATTCAATGTATTATATGAGTTTGTAATGATTTAACAGCCTCATGACACAAAAAAGCATTTACAATAAATGACATAACACATAAAACATTCAAGAACCAAGGCATTAAAACGATAGGTTTATTGCACGAGCTACGAGTTCGTAATCACAGTTTTTCCTTCATAATCATTTTGCCTTGCTCGTAGACTAGAAGAAATGAGATTTAGATGACGTCATACGCAACCCGGCTGCAAGATTTTCTTCATGGATGTCGATCTTGACCCATAATTTCCTGAAAAGGGACCATTAAACGGATTCAAGTAGTCAAGTTGGTAAGTGGAACCGAAGTTGTTAAGCATGTAGCTAATTTTGGACTATAGAGTCTAAATGCATCGGATAGACTATGCATCCGGTAAAATATCAAAATTACTAATTAGGGATTAAGTTTGGCCAAGTTTTGTGTAATGTTTCTTTACACAAATGCGTGAACACTCAAGCGTATAGGGCTGTTCTGTCTTTAAAGAGAGAGCCGACCCTACCCAAATCAGAGGCTAACGAACGAAAGAGACAGAAAAATTCGGTCTAGTCTATACCCAAATCAGACAGAAAGTTCGGTCTAGGCCTAGACAATAGTTAGATGATTAGAGGTCTATATTCCAGTAAATAAGTAAACAAAGAAGACAACGTGTCTCATTTACCAAAATAATAGTCTACTTCCTTAATAATAATTAACTTTTCTACACAGACTAGAGGTCTACCAACGTTGAGTTGATAATGCATTGATATGATTTTTAAGCCATTGTTAAATTTTAAAAATGAGCTTACCGAGAATGATGCACAGCAGACCGACAATCACAAAGATCACCCTAAAACGTTTCCAAATAGTCATGACTGATGCCCAGTTCATTATTGGTCTTCTTCTAAACCACAAATTAGTCCTTGTCTTGCCGCCGTGTGAATATGGAGGCGATTCAGAAAGGCCTTTGCCTGATTTGGAAGTGCCCAACTGATCGTGTGAACTATGCGGCCTAGTCCCATGCGAGTGACGTGTTGAGCTGCCAGACCCCCGTGAGTCGTCAGGAGCGGTGGTGCCGGGCATGCCAAGGGGCTTTGTAGCTCACCTAAGGAACGGCAAACAGGGATAACCGGTCATACGTCATCTAATCAATTCAGCAAACAATCGTGTCGTTCAAAGTCCATTTTAGATATCCTTTTACCTCCATCTTTTAGAAGCAACCTATTACTGAATCAATTCTACATGTATTTGATTATGTGCTTCGTCGGAGTAGGAGTAGAAGTCGGCCACCACCACATAGTTAATGCACACGTAGAATGGGTACGCTCCAATTACGCCCACGGTGCACGCACGGTACGGCCACGGCCACATGCATAGCACAGCTGTCGATTGTCGGCTACAGCCGGTACATGGCTCGTCACATCAAATTCAAACATTGCGTGCGCGTTCTCACTTACGAACGTATACGCAAATAATGATGTCGTGTCGTAGGTCGCTAGCCACACAAAACACGGGCTGATATGAGGGTCGCTATTCATAATATGAAATGAGGGTCGCTATTCATAATAGGAGTAGAGGGTCGCTATTCATTGTACATGGTATTACATTTAATTAATAATCATTATTGCCAATTTTTATATTGCATTGAGGTGCCGTGTAGATGTTTTACTTAAAATTGCACACTTGTTTATTATATGTATTTTATAATAATTTATAATATAACAAATTTAATACCAATTGAATTTGACTGGATATATATAGATCTATATATATATATTTTTTTTTTTTTTTTTTTTTTTTTTTAATACGGATAATGCATTATACCACCACTCAATTTGGGTTTACTGTCTCTCTAGCTCTTTCTTTCAAAATCTTTCTCAATTTTAATTGTTGGACAATACGTTGATGTCAGTTGATATATGATTATTGGTCCTGTGAAGTGCTATGTACCTTTTAATTATGTTTAAATGTGATTGCTCTTGAGTGTTTTTGTTTTTCTTCTTTTCATGTTTATGTATTTAAAGTGTCAATTTATACAGTTTTATTGTACAAAGTATATATACAAACTATATTGTGAACCATTTATATGCCTACCTTTTTTACTGTATGAAATCCAACTTATGGTTGCAATAAATGAATGATTTAATAATTATAATACAAAATGAGTGTCGCTATCCTTTTCATCCCTGGTGCATACCTCATCTTTAAAGGTGTAAGAAGTGCCCCATTTTCACCTCTGATAATTAACATTATCTTTTTCTTTTCTAATAAAACATTATTAGTGTCTTAACCCTTTCCATAAGTGTCCCCTTTTCATCTCATCATCAAACGTGCCCCTAGTTTCAAGAGACTAAGAGCGATTTCCCCCAATGCTCGCTCGAAACGCTCGCTCGTAGTTATAGGTGTTGAAATTATGTAACTTATCAAAGGTCTTTTCAGTCTTCCGTTATGAGAATGTGCTTATAACTCCATCAGGATTAGGTTTTTCCTCTTTATAAGGTGTCATTTTTCGCGCTGCGACCTCACAAATCTTAAAGATTTTCCTCGCTCGCTTTGCTCCCTCGCAAATAAATTTTCAGACCATCACACCCAACTGCAAAGTTTGATGCTTAAGCAATACGGAAACGAATATTGAAATCATCCCCAATAATGTGATCACAATATAAGGGTATATACCCATGTCTAAAAAATTGTATATTCTCGCTTTGAGCTTTCTCCTTGAAGGTGCCCTTTTTTTCTCCAGAAAGTGCCCTTTTTGTCGGTCGCTAGGCCGCCTCTGGGCAAAACGTTATGTTTAATTGATGTACAGATAAAATAACTCGAACTACGTGATAGAGTACATTTTCCTCTTTCTGTAGCTGCTTTTTTATTCCTCTGTTTGAACTTTTAACACAACCGTCATTTCGTGAAAACACAAATTACGTAGAACGCTTTGATTTTGTTTTCACGAAGTGACGGCTCGTATATAGCCGAGCGCGTATATGGGATTTTTATTGTGTGAAGCAATTTCATGATAATCAACAATGGCAGTAGTGAAGTATGGTACATGTCAGGCGCGGATCCCGGATTTTCCAATAAGGGGGGGGGGGGGGGGGGGGGGGGGGGCGGAAATTTGAAAATTGCGCAGACCGTTTTTCAACTCAACATACCAATACTGACAAGGTCATATTAGAAGCACCATACCGGTAATTTTGTTTGACATTTTCATCGGTGGGGGGGGGGGGGGGCTGAAGCATCTTGCCCGAAAAGGTAATTTTCTGGATTCACAATTTGGCTAGTGAGCGAAGAGAGCGAGCAAAAATTTGAGGATAATATGTATTTTGTGAAAGTGTTATTTATCACCAAAATATACGAAAAAATTCATATTCGGGCAGCTCGCTGTTCCCCTCCCCCCCCCCCCCCCCCCCATTACGCGCGAAGCGCAGAAGCTTTAATGTTTCATGAAATTATTAGAGAAAGAAGAGGATTCGTTGTACCATTCTCGACTCCTAATCCTTGTCTGAATTTAGTTCCTCCCCCCCCCCCTGCTCTCCCCCCCCCTCCCGCGTGAAGCGCGGACGTTTTGACTTTTCATTAATTGATATTAGAAAAGAAAAAAGATTTGTTGTACCATTCTCGACTCTTATTCCTTGTCTGAATTCAGTTTTCCCCCTCCCGCGCGAAGCGCTGAAGTATTGACCTTTCATAGTTTAATGAAATTATTAGAGAAAGAAGATAATTCGTTGTTCCATTCTCGACCCTCAATCCTTCTCTGAATTCAGATTCCCCCCTCCAGCGCAAAGCGCAGAAGCTTAACGTTTCATTAAATTATTAGACAAAGAAGACGATTCGTTGTACCGTTCTCGATTCTTAATCATTGTGTGAATTCAGTTTCCATACCCCCCCCCCTCCCGCGCGAATCGCGGAAGCTTTGACGTTTCATTAAATCATTAGAGAAAGAGTACCGTTCTCGACTCTTAATCCTTGTCTGAATTGAGTTCCTCCCCCCCCCCCCCTCTCTCTCTCTCTCGCGCGTAGCGCAGAAGCTTTGACGATTCATTGAATTATTAGAGAAAGAAGATGATTTTTGTACCATTCTCGACTCTTATTCCTTGTCTGAATTCAGTTTTCCCCCTCCCGCGCGAAGCGCGGAAGCTTTGACCTTTCATAGTTTAATGAAATTATTAGAGAAAGAAGATAATGCGTTGTACCGTTCTCGATTCCTAATCATTGTCTGAATTCAGTTTCTATACCCCCTCCCGCGCAAAGCGCGGAAGCTTTGACGTTTCATTAAATCCTTAAAGAAAGAGTACCGTTCTCGACTCTTAATCCTTGTCTGAATTGAGTTCCCCCCCCTCTCTTGCGTGAAGCGCAAAAGCTTAACGTTTCATTAAATTATTAGAGAAAGAAGACGATTCGTTGTACCGTTCTCGGTTGTTAATCATTGTCTGAATTCAGTTTTCTCCCTCCGCGCGAAGCGCGGAAGCTTTGACGTTTCATTGAATTATTAGAGAAAAAAGATGATTCGTTGTCCCATTCTCGATTCTTGATCCTTGTTTGAATTCATTTTCCTCCTTCCGCGCGAGGCGCGGAAGCTTTGACCTTTCATAGTTTAATGAAATTATTAGAGAAAGAAGATAATTCGTTGTTCCATTCCGACTCTTAATCCTTCTCTGAATTAAGTTTCCCCCTCCAGCGCAAAGCGCAGAAGCTTAACGTTTCATTAAATTATTAAAGAAAGAAGATGATTTGTTGTACCGTATTAGACTTGTCAAAAAATGTTTCTTTGTCTGCTCCTTTTTTCGTCCTATGTCCTCTTACTGCCCCTACCGCCCCTAGCTGCGCATGCTTTAAAGGGGAAAATGAAACAATCATGATTGTGAGAGCATACAATAATTATTAGGTCAGTAGAAATGAAAGGGGAAAAAAAGATCTATTTATACACCAACCATGAAATAATCGCGACCGGGAGCGTCATATCTTAGTTTTGTGTTATCGGGCGAGGGCCGGGGCGTAGCGACCAAGCGAGATTTTGCAATGTAGAATGCTGAAATTATGCATTCTAGAAAATCCTTTAGTCCAACATGTACGTTCTTTCCGCTACATGTATATTTCTTTCTAGCTATATATCTAAATTCCCGGGGGGACGTGTCCCTCTATCGGGCCCAGGATCGCCGCCGCTGTCCATTATCACTACCAACATGAGTTCAAATATAAGCACAAGCAAGTTGGTATGAGCTGAATCCAAATGAAGGGCAAAATAAGAGTTGTGAAGCGGCCCTACCGTTAATTTAAAATTTGACTCTTTATAGAGTCTATTTGAAAGACATCCAAAATATTGTGCCCTTTTCAATTTTTATCAAAAAGCAGGGGCTGTTTGTAACGTTTAACTTTGAGTCCGTGGCTCGAGATTTTATGCAGCCGGCCCGGCCCCCTCTATTCAATAACGTTTCCCAAGCCTTCTGGAATGACCCCAAATCTCCCGATTACAGTTTTTCCCTTATTCGTCGTTACTGTTACTTAGCGCCGTTTCCTTGTCTTTCCCCCTTTCTCACCCGACTTTTCTCTTCCCCTTCCCACCCCCCCCCCCCCCACCCACTCAGTGTTATCTAGCTAGGGTACGCGCATCATGACTATGTTCCCTCTCTTAGTTTGAAAGCACCCCTTTATCTTCGGTGTGTAAAGTCAGTGCGGGCCGGACTTGTGTGTATTACAGGCCGGACTTTGTTGTGTGAAAAGTAACCCTTTATCGGAAATTTGAGGAACACAAAATCGGTCCCTCCGACCCCGGAGTGGGAGTGAGGTTGGGGGGGGGGGGTATATCTTCTTCTTTTTTTCTTTCTCTCTCTCTTCTTTCTTTTCTCTTCTCTTTTCTTTTCTCTTCTCCTTTCTTTTCTCTTCTTCTTTTTTTTTTCTTCTCTTCTCCTTTCTTTTTTTCTCTTTTTTTTTGCGCCGCCAATGGGGGGGGGGGGGGGGGGGGGGGCCGCGGCCGTTTCCCCCCTGGATCCGCCACTGCATGTGGAAAGATCTTTTGCAATACGTCTAGAGGATAAACTCATGACAATTGACAATTTGTCATGAATCATTGTTTTTAAGCTTACCATTATAATTATGCATCTGGCTCGAATTTTGCTTAGGTATTTGGTAATGGATGATTTACATGGTAAACATGAACTTGTGTCCTATTCATTCAAGTCTAATGGTCTAATGTTTTCTGACTGTTTTCAAGACAATATCTTTCTTGTCGATCATAGTCCTATGTAGCTTGATATCTCATGGATCTTGAGGGAAAAGCATTCCAAGCAACGATTTCTGAATTGTAGCGACAATCGTTCGCCTTTGCTGCTCTTCAATAATACAATGACAAGCAGTATTAATTAATTTTCAAGGACTCATGATAAATTCGTTCATACTTGATAATCCTGATTATAACCGACTTGTTTTAGTCATTGACATTACTTTTGAAATTATTTTGTATTATTCGTTTTTTAAATATCATATTCCTTTCTTTTGTTGATGTTTTGTTTCTATTTATCAAGCTTTTCCCTTTCATAAATAAGGCAACATTGGGGTTTAATGTATATACAGTTGTGTTTTGATATGTTTGCCTTTGTATCAGGGCTCAAATTAATTTTTTGTCCACGGGGGCTCTTCCCAAAAAAAAAAGAGCCCCCGTGAGCCTTCTCACGGCGAGGCGATTTTTTGTTGTTGCTATTTTGAACCCCCGTTAGTGATGATTTCCTGGCATCTACTGACATCTAATACTGTGTAGGTCTGGACACATGATTTTGGACACATGATTTTGTATGTTTGTTTGTTGATTTTTGTTTGTTTTCTAGCATGCTTCAACAAAGTTTTGTGTGTTTTTTTTTTTTTACTAATCATAATTATGTTACGTCAGGATATTATTTCAATCAGTGTGAATTTGAATTAGATTTTTCTTTTTTAGATAACAAATTAATAGATTAAAGGAACACCGAATTTCCCCCATCATTGGTAATTTCTTGCCATAACTTTAATTGCCCGTTGCATGATTGGATGTTTTGCCCCCCCCCCCCCCTCAACCAAGGTCCATACATCGAGATTACTAAATACAATTCTAAGAAAGAAAGGAAGAAAGAAAGACTCGTTAAAAAAGAATGATAACATTCTTCAACTTTGCCGATTATTTTTTTTGTTTTTTAACTCACAAATCCATAAAAGGGAAAGAAAAAAAATCTTCATCTTCAAATCGAAGATTTTTTTTTTCTCACTTTGCTACCAATTACAAACAGCTCTCAAAATTCTTAGAAAGAAAATAAGGGAGGGGGAAGAAACGAAGTAAGTACAAAATCTCTTTGCCGACAGGCACTTTAATTGCTGACAATTGAGGCTTATAATTACGGACTTTAAAGAAAGCCTGAAAGGTCCCGGGAAAGGTAGAAAGAATGAAAGGGGAAAAAAATCTTCAACTGTACATGTATATGTCGACAAGGCTCATCAAATTCCTTCCCGTGAATATGCAAACACATGCAAGGCTGATTCACATCCCATCGCACACTATATAGATTATATCAATAAAGTGCCACACCTTCGAGCCCATAACATTTGATCTTTCAGCTATAAATGACATCTTTTTCATTGAACAAAAGATTGTCAAAAACTGCACCCGTCGAGTTGACCTCCAACCCCGAACCCCGTCAAATAGTTTCCTAAATCACGTTAATTATCATTTCACCCCATCTAGCCTAAGTACCAAAAATTAAATCAAAACGAAATATAACTGTATCACAGAACTGTATCAAATTTCCCCTAAAAACCCGACCAATTCAAGACTAAAATTTGTCAGGAGTAAGAAACTGGTGTATATATGGACAGAATTAAGTGACAGAATTTCGTAACTAGGCCACTTTCCACTTTTTAAACAAGTGATATATTGCTTGCTAACAATGTTCACGTTCATGTTCATCTTTCATTAATAAATTAACTACACGAAGTTTTCCTCGTATTCTTTTGTTATTATCATTATATTTTATTATTATTATCCTTATTATATAAAGCCAACTGACTGTAGATCGCATGGTTCACGATTAGCGTCCCACCACCATACTAATGTCCTTTGGCAAGACATCAATCTATATTTGCTGCTCTCCACCCAGGTAAATCATGGGTAACCGGTACGAAAAGAAAAATGCTTTAGCGCCTAAAGCTCACCTACAGCACTTTATAAATGGACCTATTATTATTTCATTATTACTATTATGATAATCATTATCATTATTATTATTATTATTATTACCATAATAACCATTACTACGATTGGTATTATTATTATTATCATGATCTAAATTATCATTAACAAGTTCATTATTATCAACATAATCACCACTTTTTTCAATTAGTGTTATTATTAAAATCTGCCAATCAACAAATATTTAAACACAAAACACATCCTAACATAAAGAGGGTGCAGGGCCCGAGCAAAGTTAACTATAATGGCTATAAACAAATTCTTGGTACGAAACACTTAAAATGTTACCATGAAAACACATGAACAGGTGTATTAACTATCGTACAATATACTTTATTATTTGTCAAGGTGCATACATATATACAAATATAGAAATATTATAATAACATCTCTTTGGAGATAAAAGAAATCTGATTCAGCTTCAATCAAACAAAAGTGCCTAAAAGAATATCACAGCTAAATTAAGGTGATCTAGCATAGAGCACTTCATATTTCTGTATCTTAAAAACACAAAGGAAAGTGAGAGTACTCTTTCTTTTTTCACCCAACTACCTTTTCATCCCACTTGCCATTAATTAACACATAATATCAAAAAAATTTGCCATGACATTTTCCAAAGGTGGTTTACTGCATAATGTGTGAATGAAGCTTAAGAAGTTAAAGTTGCAAAGCTGCTCAAGCATGGGTATATAGAGGGCAGCCCACGGACATACGCACTAGTGTCCCTTTGTTATGTAGTGATTGCAAAGTTGCCTACTTCAGGAATGACTTTACACCCACGCATGAACATCTTTAAGTAAAGATCATTTTCACACACAATAGAAGGCATATTATTCTTTACTTACAAGAAAACAAACATTTCAAGGGAGCAAATTGTTGATACAGTGTGTGGCTGGAATAACTTTTGATAAAGGAGAGGAAAATAACAAAAGGTTTATTTGATTTTCTTATTCTTGATGAAAAAACATGAATATAACCAATGAAGACAGACTGAATGCTTGCTATATTTTGCAAACACAAAATGAATTCAAACCGGTCATTAAAGCATCGGACGGATGGGTTTTGTAAAATGCGAGTATGTAAGGCATAAACTGTTTCACAAGTACATTAAAAATTGCATAACATGAAATAGAGGACGGACAAATGTTAGTCTGCATGAAGTATTCTATATGCCAATTAAAACATAGCATAGTCTGCATATATATTATCATAGATACTTAGAAAAATTGTGTAGAAGACAGATAAGAGTTAGAAAGACAATGTCTGTTTAGCACAGATTGGTAATATACATGGTTTACAATGTTGGGTAGGTATTCACTGTACATGTACCGGGTAGTAATTGAAATAAATGATGACGTTGATGATCATCCTAACACAGCATATCATATACAGTATATCCAGAATATTTCCAGAATTTTGAGCCATATAATATTAAGATTTATACACTTCAACAGTAAATTCAGTTTTACTTACAGGTATATTGTATGAACTAATTGTCTAGTTTTACTCTTTTTTAAATATATGAACATACATTTTATATGTATATATATGAACATACTGAAGAACAAATAACCTAAACTCGTTCATCATCATTAGAGGCAGTTTCAATCACCCAATGTTTGAGATTGCTTTTTTAAATTAGAGGACATGGTCTTTTCTTCTTATTCAAAGTGGGCTTGGGTATTGTGAAGTTCAATTTCATGGAACAACATACATGTATCACAATTAGAGCATAAACGCATAAATCTTATAGGATGGTGAACCATGCATGAAGGCTTTTGATGTTTACTTTATCGTTTCAAATACATGTATAACAGTAATTGAGTGCATTAGTTGAGTGTGAATGCATCAGTTTCCCAGGGTGATAGACAAGGTAAAAAATTTAGAAAGAAGGCCTAAGACGTTTACATTATAGTTTCAATCATTCTGCATCATTGAAGTCTGAACACATCGGTCTTCTATAATTGTGGACCATGAATGAATCCCTTTGACCTTTACTTTATCGTTTCAAATGTTTTGATAACCAACTATATCATTTGAGCGTGAATGCATCAGTCTCAGGTTGATAAACCAAAACAGGATTAAAATAAAAGTCCTTTGCCGTTTGCATTATCGTTTTCAAATCTTCTGGTAATTAGCTGCATCATTGGAGTCTGAACACATCAGTCTCAGGTTGATAAACCAAAACAGGATTAAAATAAAGTCCTTTGACGTGTGCATTATCATTTCAAATCTTCTGGTAATTAACTGCATCATTAGAGTCTGAACGCATCAGTCTTCCCGGTTGATGGACAAGATCAACGATGTAGGCCTTAGGAGGAAACTTGGGGTTCTCTTGCTGTGGGCAAAAAGGAGGAAAAAAAACAGTCAAATAAAAATAAACAGCCCAATAAAAATAAACAGCCCAATAAAAATAATAATGATATTGATATTCCATTCTTGTATGGCGCGTATCACATTATAACACCCCTATGCACTTCCAAAGAGCTTTAGAATTACCCCGGCTTCAGGAGGGCGTTTCATCAACATTTGTTCGCCGACAACTGTCAGCGCTGAATAAATTTGACCAGTCAGAGGCCTTTAAAACAGTCGGTGACAATAAAATTGTGGGTGAAAATTATATTAGTCGGTGAAAACCACCTACTAATTGTTTCATGAAACACCCCCATGGTCAGGCAGCTGTTATCAGTGCACAGTGCATTTCAAGGAATAATCTTACCATGCACCCATTTACTTCACCTGGGTCGAGTGTGGCAAATGTAGATTAAGGTCTTGCCAAAGGACGTTAGAGCTGTGGCAGGGATTTCAAACCCCGTACCTTGTGGTTCACAGTCCAAAAACATAATCATTGGACCACAACACCTCTACAATATATACAGCATATGTTCATTCATTCGTTCGCTTATTCATTTCCTTTTCATAAAAACACAGCAAAAGCAAATAAACATACTGAGGCAGGGAATGTTCTGTTTATACGATAACTTCAAATGAAATAGGAGCACAAAAGGAAAAGCCCATAGTGGCCTTGTTTAAAAAAAGTTCCCTTGAATATTATAATTTATATTACTGAGTATATATTAGTTAAAGATATCACATTGGATAGTGATACACACAATATAAAGACAAACAATTACAAAAAATGTGTGAAATGATGTTAACTTGGAGGGGGCAAAACAGTTTGGAAGGTAAATTCAACGGTACTCAGAATACAAGGTCAGTTTCATTTGTTTTTTAAACATTGAACTGTTTTTATATAATGTGAACAAGCCTTTAATATCATGTAACTTACCGAGTCCTCTTCATCTGTGAGCATAACCTCATTCCATGCTCTGTTATAATTGCCTCTCACTAACGAGCATGACACACCAATCCGATCAGCAAGGGCCTGCATAAAGACAAAAACACAAGATAGAAATCAGAAACTCAGTATAGAAACTCAATATCTACTTTTCTAAATCTTCCTTAGGAGCTCCTATGCTCTTCCATCTCTCTCTCTCACTCTCTTTCTCTCACACTCTCTTCCATCCCCCCCCCCCCTCTCTCTCTCTCCTTCTCACTCTCTCTCTCTCCCTCACTCTCCCTCTCTCTCTCACACACACTTTCTCTCTCTATCTCTCTCGCTCACCCTCTCTCTCCTTCTCACTCTCACTCTCTCTCTATCTCCTTCTTACTCTCCCTCTCTCTATCTCTTTCTCTCTGTCTCTCTCTTTCTCTCTATCTTTCTCTCTCTCTCTCATGCTCTCTCTCTCACTCTCTCATTCTCTGTCTCTTTCATAATACTTCTCTCCTTCTCATCATATTTTTACACCAGCTTTTAATCTGCTTCTATTTTTAGTCAGCACCTCCTTCCATCCAACATCTTTCAAAACTAAATTGATATTTCCAAGAGTTGAAATCATTGTTACAAACAAGAATGATCTAAAGCAGAGTATCATGTTTTGTTGATAAAGTGATTATAAAGAAATATGGATATCCATTTCTTACAACAAAGTCATTCTAACAATCAATCTGACTTTACTAGACAACAGGTGGAAAAAGTAGCCATTGTGATGTGAGCCAAGAGCAAGAGCTTTTCAAAGCTGGTTGAAATCTTGATAGCACTATTAGTTTCCTTTGTTACTCACCTTAAAGAGCAGAGCCCTATGGCAGTGGATCCCCCTATCGATCCTACCAATAGGGATGATGTTACTCTTTAGTTCATATTTGAGTTGACTCAGACTCAGTTCATAGCTGAAGTTTGCCATCTCACCCTTCTCGATAGGACCACCCATCTTATTGCTGACATATCTGGGAAAGTACAGAAAGGAGATAAGGTTGTCTTTTATGTCTTTATGCACTGCCCTACTGTACAACTCTAGACAAGGAGGTACCAATGGTAGCTTTATCAGCAAAACTTAGGGGCACAAGACTTTCTGAACTGCGCAAGACATAATAGTTGGTGATGTCAGTGAATTAAAAGTTCTTATTTGACATATATCTGAATGAAAGTTTAGGTAATATAAAGTCTAATCAGGGCAATACATGTATTAACCTGCACCTTGCCCTATCAATGTGGTTTTACTTCTATGTGACTTTCAAATAGTACAAGGTTTTCCATTCAGACGCATCCATGCCAGCTAGTACCAGTACACTTCAAGTTTCAAGTTTTATTTATCTTTCTTTCATAACACACTTTACAAATATGACATGAATATAACAAGTTTACAGAATATGGCGTTACAAAAGAAAGATGAGTTGACCTTGGTTGAAAGCAAGGCTTGTGGATTTAAGGTCCCTCATGAGTAGCTTATGAATATGTCCTAAAAGAACAAAACTCGTCAGATAAGAATAATGCATACATTTAAGTGCTGACAAACTAAACTAACAACTGATAAAATATAAACATAAATAAGTATAATAAAATCTACTGACTACTAAATAAATGGCTATAAACAAGAGAAACAGGAAAATACAACGAGCAACAGGACTGAAACACAGACAAAAACAAAAAAAGATGAATAGATGTGAGAGATGGGAGTAGAATTATGCTGACCTATATAGTAATTAATTTTCTTAAATATTGATCACAACTATAAATCTAGACGATATCGACTCAAATATAGTAACTTCAGTTTGCGCTTAAATACATAAATACTGACTGATTGCGCTATTCTTGGTTCAATCAAGCATCAAGCCTTTTAGGGTACTATATTGATAAATCTCAATTGCAATCTGAGCCTGAAAATAATGAAACCATGTTCCTTAAGTTCTGCTATCATTTGGGGCTACTGGGAGGTTCTATGAGTAAAGCTGAATTATCCATATTATGAAATGCAGCTAGGCTCCTTGTAATGTAGTTGTTTCACTTGCAGCATAATAAACATATATTTTGGTATGAGCAATGAGTATGCACATAAATCTTGACAAACAGAATGAACATGTAGTGTGGAAATAACAAGTATTAAATAATTCCTATGAATATATACCTCAGACCCAAAAAATTCGACAGATTTTCATTGATGCATTATACGAGTCTATCTCTGAAGCGCTTAGAGACATCAGAGATGTACAGGGCGCTATATAAAAGCGGAATTTTATTATTATTATTATTCTGTTGCTTATAGGAGGAGGAAAGAGTAGCATTACCAGATGAATATACTCACTGTGCGATTGTGATGACTTGTTCCCTGGTGGTAGGTAGACAGCTGACATCATTCAACATATCACTCATATAACTCTCAAAGATAGGATCAGCTGGAGCTTCATACTGGGGTGGCTGCTGGGATAGTAATGCTTGCTGCTCTGCTAATCTCTCAGCTTCTAGTCTCTCACGAAGCTCTCTCTCCTCACGCTCCTTCTTGCTCTCTCTCTTCGCTCTGAAACAAAGAGAAGTTAGGATCGTTAGCGTAAAGATTAATACTCAAATCCCTAGGGCAGGGCTCAGCATTAAAGGGGGTTCACGGCCAAAAGCAAATGACCCTCTCAAAACTTGTTCAAGATTTTGATCTGATATTAGACTTTAAAAAATTATTAAATAATTCAAATATATTCACAACCAGGTACCATGGTTAATAGTACATTTAATTAAGCTGGACTGCATGCACTTCTTATAGCCAACAATGCCTAAGCGATACCCGTTAATCCCCCATAGTCCCTTATTGAGAGCTGATTTAATGAGATAACCACCTGCCACTGACCACACAGGGAGGTCTAATACCTCCTGGCCAAACTAGTGCAGATAGGCTTTAACCTTTATTGATGTCAATTTACTGACTAATGACTTTAATTATCTGAATTTTCATTTTTACAAATGAATAAACAAATTCAACTATATTCACAATCATATTTAAGGTTGATAATTATAGCAATAATAATAATTGTAATAATAATAATTGTAATAATAATAATTTTAATAACGATAAAAATATTAATAATGATAATAATAACCACAATAATAATAACAATAATGATAATATGTCCATTCATATAATGCAGCTACTTTGTACATATGCTCTATAATGCCTGAAACAAAGTATATTACTACCCGAGCTAGTGCAGCTGAGCTGCCGTGATACATACCCTTTGACAGATGACTTTGATGATCTGATATTTGACTTGGATTCCTGTTTGACGTCTAGTTCTGATGGGATGGTAGGTGCAGGAGTGACAGGTGGGCTAGACAGACAGACAGACAGAAAAACAAATGCTCAGTGAGTGAGTGTAGCATGCACTAATATATATATATATATATATATATATATATAATGTGATGTGATATACATACTGTCTGTTGAGAGCCAGAAGATTTGCGCATGGGAAGATGGAGGGAATTCATTCAAATTGTAAAACCATCGAGACGAATACTGGTATCGTGCTCATGAAATTTATGTAATCAGTATTCATTTATGCACCGACAGTATATTTATCTGATACACAGGTGGAAGTATTCTTCTCAAGAGGCGAACAAAAGGTATTCATGAAGCACCTCCATCACTTTGGCAGTGATTATTCTAAAATGCACAAGTGGGAGGTATTGAGTAAAAGAGGGGTTTTTTGTGGTCATGCATTCCAAAGCTATTCACGAACTGGTTTATTAACTGGTTTATTAATTTAGATGTTTGGGTTCTCAGCAGAAGATATGGGATATATATGCATGTGTTTGTGTGTGTAAGATACAAACATGAATATATGTATATTCTACGATTTGATTTTGGTAAATAGAGGCATTCTTGAGTAATAGCTATTACCAGAATCTACTAACACACATCTGATATATAAACAGTAATGATAAAACACAGTTCTCATAAAAAATAATATACACCTACATGGTACATTGTCATATGTATGTGCAAGTAATGCTGTATTCTTCTGGATACTTCTCAACATTCCAGTGCTTTCGGTATCATGATTTACAAACCAGAATATACTAAATCTACTATTTATATAGCTACTTTTACTCATTTTGAATGGACCTTAACTTTCTTTCCTTACAGCTGATCAGTATAGTATACATGAATGTCCATGCTTAACCTATCAACAAAATATCAAAATTATAAGCCTTTTCTTGTTTGTCTTCTCTAAACTATGAGTGTAGCAATGATTTAATTGCTTTTCAAATTCATAAGAGACTACAACTTTACTATAAAGTATCACAAACATGTATGTGCTATATACCATTTCAGATTTTTTTAAATCACATAAAGCATGCAATATATTTCACTTGTGACTGACAAATATGTAATACATCATGACATATATAGCTAATTTATAAATGTTTGTATATTTTCTTGATATTATAGATTGCTAGAGGCAGGAAACATGCAGTCCGTATACCTCTTAGATGCTCCACAGTTGACAAGGAGGATTGGTTTCTTCTGGTTCACTTCTTGTTCACTCAGCTCCTCTAACGTGGCAAACTTGGATTCTGGACGGATCTGGGGACGAGATCAACCAATCAATCATCTGTTAACTTATTTATTTACTATTTATTTATGAATTTAATTCTGATATTCAGACAGGGTGACTCATTAGCACCAATAATGGTGGTCTTCCATGAGGCCCTGCTAAACATAATAATAATAATAATAATAATTTACTTATCATCAGTCAATGAGATACAAAGCCCCTACACAATCCTCGTCCATTATCTAAGGCTATTATTAAAACAGCAACATCTACAGGTCTGCACTTTTACTACAACTAGTAATCACTGGTCACTACAGGACTTGTTCAACACCAATTTGACTATAGCCAGCATTAAAGCATTAGGGGGGGGGGGGGGAGATGGTTCAAATGAGCAACAAGTCGGCATTTGCTTGCCAGATGGCTTATAAGGATAAAAAGACAAGAAATTATTTTAAGCCAAGTTGTTAAAGCCTCTGTAAAGTGTTGGGAGCCCCCAAAATTTGATTTCAAATTTCACCTTAATTGTATAGTGACGTGAAAGAGGGTGAGTATTGATGAAAGAATACAAAACTGAGGTTTTCTGCGTACAACACGAAACACAAATATGGTATTCTGTCATCATTATTTCGTCTTCAAACGTGTTTGAAAATCCTTGCAAAAGTGTGTGTGAAATGACTTTTTTAAAATGATTTTTTGCCATATTATGTTTGACAAATTTTGGGCTCTCAACACTTTAGAGGGGCTTTAAACAATACACCAGAGGATAGAGCATTCTAGAGCTTCTGCTTTACATCAAATATTGAAACCCTCTATAAATTGTGATGAGATTTAAAAACAAATGCTTGTTTACCTTGCCAGCATCATAGAAGCCATCGCAGATGATATCATTAGGACCCAGGAAACCCATCAGACTGTACTTTGCTGGTAGCATGCTATCCAGTAGTCTCTCAAGGGCCACGTCACTGAAGCCATTCTTTCTAGTCGTAGACTGTTGGATCTCCTTCAGGGTGTCCAAGCCACTGAAAAGAAGATGAGAGATAGAGATGGATCATAAGAGAAACAGTCAGAACCTGGGAAAGGGTACAGTTTGGGAATCACAAATGATATCATTAGTTCCGAGGAGGACACATCAGACTGTTGATAGTATGCTGTCCAGTGACCTCTCCAAAGCTAACATCACTGAAACTATTTTTGCCGGTAGACTGTTGGATCTCCTTCAGGGTGTCCAAGCCACTAACAAAAACAGAAGAGAGATAGACATGGATCATAAGAGAAACAGTCAGAAGCTTGGAAAGCTAGGGCACAGTTTGGGAATCACAAATGATTTGTTCCAAGGAAACCCATCAGGCTGTTGGTAGAATGCGGTCCAGTAACCTCTCCAAAGCTACATCACTGAAACCATTTTTTTCTGGTCGTAGACTGGTCAATCTCCTGAGGGTGTCCAAGCCAAAAAGTAAGGAAGAGGAATATAGGTCAGTACAGCACATACCGCCTGTTGAGAGCCAGAAAGGCTTTCTTCACCAACATCATTATGAGCAGGACCAATTTAATTTCAACAAACAATCAAGAAGAAAAGATATCACCATTCTTTCTAATGGTAGACTACTGAGTCTCCTAAAAGGTGTCCAGGCCACAAAAAGGGTAAGAACTTGATAAGGCCATGACGTCATCCTATTCTGATGGATGGGTTACAATTGCAGAGTGGGCAAGTCTTCTTGATCAATTGGATGTAAGAAAGACTAGAATTTATTTTGTATGTGTGTATGATGTAATTATGCATGATTAATGTTGACATTACAAACCAACCCATTGCAGAATCATAAAATACATACATGTACATGTGTAGAAGCAGATACAGGGGCATAACTTTGAACTGAATTCATTTAATAAATAATATTAAGTGTTATACAAATGTTGTTAATTATTATTATTATTATTATACATTTTAAGTTACATATTACATTTCCACTGTACTTGTGTGAAACAATCTTATGACGATTGCTCCATGGTCAATTGCTTCACGGTCAATTTTTATCATGATCAAATTCCTAATATCTACACCTAATCTTCCTAATCCTAAACCTAACCTAAAACCGAAATCACAACCGTTTATTGTTTATCTTTGAGGAATACAACCTGAATCAATTAACGCAGTAATAATGGTGGTCCTCCAATGTACATAAAAGCCTATATAACTTCTATAAGGTCACTGTACTGTACTTTGTTTTCTGCAGTAAACACAAGCGTATTACAGGATGGCACAAATATGTGGTTTATGGTACCTGGGGGGTGTTTCACAAAGATCCTAAGTTGAACTTATCTCTAAGTTGGACTTAACAATTATGGAAAGCCAATAGCATCTATAAAAATATTTTGCCAAAGTTATTTTAAAAGGCATAAAATGTTGATTCAAAATCATTCATATTATCAAGGAGATTTCATGTTCTTGATGTTGAATTTATAAAAAGTCTAAAATACTTGAATCTTTGCTTGTGAATATATTTTATTTTAAGGCCACAAATGGCTCTCCATATTTGTTAAGTCCAACTTAGAGTTAAGTTTGACTTAGGATCTTTGTGAAGCACCCCCAGGACAACTATGGTCCAATACCAAAGTGGTATACTTTCCCCTTAAATGAAAAATGGTGAACATTGATTAAATGGAATCAACTGGTAAACTTACCCCAGCTTGCAGAGTTCTGTAGCAACGACCGGATCACTAGCACAGACAACCAGGGCCCAGGAGGCAGCTCTTCTTACATCATCATTACTTGACTGAAGAAGCTTCAGCAGAGGACCCAACCCACCTAGACCTCTCAACTGAAACAGGATGAATAGAGTGAACACAGCCGAGATGTGTTAAAACACAGTGAAGTAACATGTGAACACAAAGATGTGATTCACGTGAACACAAACTAGACCTCTCAACTGAAACAAGATGAACAGAGTGAACACAGCCGAGATGTATTAAAACACAGTGAAGTAACATGTGAACACAAAGATGTGATTCATGTGAACACAAACTAGCATGTAAATAGTGATAATATTTAGGGTTCACCTTTATATAGTGAACACCTAGACCTCTCAACTGAAACAAAATTAATAGAGTGAACACAGTCAAGTTGTATTATAATACAGTGCTACTCAAAAATGGTTTGCAGTAGCCACATCAGACTTGGAACAACATCCCTTTTTTCATAAGGGGAATTCCCTGTCTTGCCACCTTCAAAAGATCCCTCAAAACTCACCTTCTCCCCCTGTGATCTACGTGATCTACTTCCTTCGAGACTGTACAATATTTTCATATATTTGTATTTGTACGCGCTATGCTACTTATTGTTTATAGTGCTTCTAAATATTCTATATCATTATTATTATTAGTGTTGTTGTTGTTGTTGTTGTTGTTGTTGTTGTTGTTGTTGTTATTATTATTATTATTATTATTAGTATTATTTGGTGAGACTGTTCTTCTTACCTGGTTCCTTGACTCTGTATCACAGACGAAGGCAGCTAGGGACATGGCTGCTTTGGTTTGCACATTAGCATTGCTAGATATCAAAAAGAAGACAAAATGTTGATTACTTTAAATACTTTGAAACCAAACCTTTTGATTGCAATGAATAAATACATGAATACATCATTGAATAAATAAATTAATGAAAGTAAGATTTATGGTATATTAAAAACTTTGGTGTCAATAATGGATACTATGGGAAAAAATATATATGTGTTTTTCATTGCGTTTATTTGAAAATGGAAACCTCAGAACACAGACTTGTTCAAAAGAGAAAGAAAGCCACCACACGTATGTATCCTGACCTGGAGTGCAGGGGTGTCAGAAGAGCTCCAACGATTCCTCGGGTCTGAATGTCATCTCTCAAGATCTCGTCCGTCGCCATGTTGGTCAGGACCTGAGCTGCATTGGCTTGGGCGCCCTCTCTTGATGAGTTCAAGAGACCAATCAGAGGCTCGATGCCATTGCGTTCGGCAAGCTCCACACAGTTTTGGACGGTAGCTGATGTGAGATTGGCCAGAGCGAGGGAGCTGTTCTCAGCGACGTCTCCATTTTCACTGCCGAGCAGTTTGACAAGAGGGGCTATGCCATCTAAAATGGATGAAATTGAAAAGTGGATTCTTTTATATTTTGTTCTTGATGTAGCTTTGTCCACATATAACTTCAAAATAAAACAATATTTGAATTAAAACGTTCTGTTGTGCCAAGATTGCATGACTTCAGACCATCTGTCGATTCTTGAAAAGCACATAAAAAGTGAATGATTGAATATACAGGTAACATACAAACTATTACTACAAAAATTAAACCATACCGAATGTTGAAATCATCTGTACCCCTACCCTATTTCTCTGTCTTAATTCATGCATGTTTTTTTGTCAGTTATATATCATATCTAGAGCCTCTTAATCTTTTAATGGGCCCATCAATTAATCATTCATTCAATGCAATAATGTCTAATTTAGGTTCAATTTCTCACCAACGTCATTATTAGTCACAACACTCTTACATTCATGTCATCGCAACATTACAGATACACAACAACCTCACGCTATACCACATCGGAGTCTGTCTATTAAACCTACCATATTCAGCAATGGTCTGTCTACAGAGGGCGCTCTCTGCCATGATGGCGAGGGCCTGTGCTGTAGCTGCTTGGACCGGTGCACTATCAACCTCTAGCAGACATACCAACGTCTTCTCTCCCTCCTGCTCATGAAAAATCTTGCAATTCTCGGCTGCAATAAGGGATGAGAAAATGCCACTTCTGAATTTGCTGCTCATTGGATGATGGAACTCTACACATCACATTATAGTTTTGTTTAGAATATAGCTGTATTGGATACAAGGGTATATCCCATGAGTCGATCAGCATATTTCAAAAGAAGTACATGTGTTTTATTCAAGCTGAACAAAGTAGGTAAAAAGTAAACATGTTTGATAGCATTCACATAGTAAATAGTTCAAAAACTATAGCACATTGTTATCAATTTCAATTTTGTTTGTCTATTTGTAAAAATGAAATCATCAACTAGATACCCTAATTAATACTTGAAATGCATTCACGTCTTTTTTTACATGTCCTATCTTTGGATTTCTCTCAATTTCAACGAATCAAAATGAATGGAAATAAGTCACCCTAAAAACTTCATGGCTTCATTTATCACAAGGTTTACAGCTAGTAGGTAACATCTAGGTTTAGATTCTGTCCAAGGATTGTTAAAGAACTTTTTGCTTCAATTCAAACAACTCAAGGAATATTCTCAGATTCAAGTAATTTTGAGAAGTTTTTGAAAATGTTGGTTGCTTACGATTCCTTGCAGCTCTTGCTATGGCCTTGGAAGCATTCTCCTGCACCTCAGGCTTCTCAGACTCAGCAGCAAAGGCCAGTAGCTTCTGAAGACCACCCGTGGTCTGGATCAGTTCCATGCTCTCTATGTCTTCCAAACAGTTAGAAAGAACATTCAGGGCATGCACATGGAGGTCTTCAAATTCCTGATCAGAGAAGAATTTGGAAAATAAAAATACAGCATATATCTCAATGGTGCATAATAGCTTAGACCTGCATACGGAAAATGGATTAATGCAACTACCTCACCACAGAACATCTGCCAGATTTTGTTCATCATTCATGACAATTAAGTTGCAATTCAAATCATTAGGGGTGAATTTTACTCCATGTCATTGATCCCTTGCCCTTATATCTAGTGGTTGAAATGTTGACATCTTCATTTCATAAACACCCTCTTTCAGTTCTCAAGTAATCTTATTTCAACATAAAACAGGGTGATAATTCACAAATTTAATAGTCAAATTGAAATAAATTTCTATGAATGATTGCGATTATCAAAGGATCAATTTGCTTGAAGTGTCCTTTTTTAATAGGCCTATTTCATTTTTATTTTAGACATTTTACGTGTTTACAAAGCATGCATACAAGACACTCAGAGGAACAATCAATAATTTATAAATTATCTCCTTTTTTGAAGATATATACACCATTCCAATAATAATCTACACTGGACTTGTATAATTTATAGCACTGAATTTTAATCAAAACATTTATCACTTCTCCTTCCATCATACCTTTGTGCCCACAAAGTCAACAAGTCTTTCCAATCCCTCTAGTTCTCTGAGTGCTTCCCTGTTCTCAGCATCTTGGGTAGATAAGGTCAGACTCTGTAAGGCTAGCTCCTGAATCACTGGGTAGTCGGACTTCAGCAGCTCTAGCAGAGGCTCTAAGCCACGTGCATCTCTGAAGGAATACAGAAGAGAAGAGAAGGAAATGAAGTCTTTGTCTCTGTTTACATGTCTACAAATCATAACAAATATGCTTCTTTTCCTCTCATTCACTACATTAATCAGGTCTGAGAAAAACATTGAAAACAAAATGTTGTGACAGTATATTAACTCTTCTATTGTGTTGAGTTTACAAATAATATGTATCACAGATAGAATTTTGTATGTTAAGCTTTTAATGATTGTTCCAGTTTTCATAGTTCATCTTATATCATGCTATTTACAACTCAGGAATCTGTTTTCAATTTCACGAGAGATTGTATATATACATATATGTTATAGAAATTTGATTGTTTAAAAACCAACTTCAGAACAAAGTATGAAAGTGGTATATACATGTAGCTCATCTCTTTATTCGTCCATTCCGGCTTTTCCCTATAAATATATCCGTCAGGCAAGTGTACTCTGGAATTTCATGTACATTCTTGTTTTACTTTATTAAAAAAAGGAAGACTGGTGCTGTTTCAAATACTGTTATTCTTGGCACTTGGTCTTTTACAAGGTAGAACAGTCTGGAAAATGAGACAGTGTTGTTTCATTCAGTGCACCCATGTTACCTGATGGCTGCTCTGCTCTGATAGTCCTGTAGCAAGAGAGAAACAGCTTCCACAGTGTTCTTGGTGACGTCAGGATCAGGATCAGAGAGCAGAGCTATCAGTGGGTCCAGACCCCCCAGTTCCATGATTTGGACCTTGCTAGAGTACTCATTAGCCATGTTAGCCAGACACAGACTGGAGAATTCATGGACCAGAGTGTCCTCTGTAAAGCAAAGTTTATGATATGATATTGTTACAGGCACAATGGCTCAGTGGTAGAGAAGTTCTTTGCCAAGTGGAGGGATCAAATAAAAAGAAGAATGAGAAGAAGTGGTCTTGGATTCAGGAGGTCCAAGTCAATGCGCTAGTACCCTTTGGTAAGGCATTCATCCTTAACAAGTCTTCCGGGGAGGACTTAAAGCCGTCAACCCCTGGTCGCTCACTTACAAGCATACATTTGCTCCCTTAGGAGTCAGTTAAAACAAACCAACCCGATTTTTTTTGTTGGACCTTAGCCATGTTGACTAGACACAACCTTGTTAAGCAGCGTATCCTCTGTAAAAGAAAAAGATTTGAATAATTTGATATGTTTGGATACGCTTTTATTCAAATGTTAAAGTACAATCTAACAGTGTTGAGAAAGCAAGAAATGATGTGGTACAGACAGGGGTAGAATTTTAACTCTTTTTTTATCTTTCACTCATAAATGAATTAATAACAATTAAAATACCAGACTTGATGGATTCAGGAGGAGGTTAATCCAGTGGTACTATTTTTAAAGGGCAAAAAAGAGAAGATGAGAACACAATGTTGACAAATTGATAAGAGTCTACCCACTAAGAAAACAACACATCTGATGTGTTGTTTTCTTTTCTTTTTGTAAGTAAAAAAGAGAAGAAAGTATGAAAAAGTTAGAAGTGTCTAAATCAGTTACATATCCTTTTAACAATACAATTTTTAGATCAATTGATCTTACCTTCAGGAGCTAATAACTTGATAAGATTTGGGATGCAGTCACTCTTCCTCAGCAGTCTCCTCACCTCATCTGTAAGAAAAGCCACGGAAAAACAACTATCAAACTACAAGCATGAATAAATTATACACTCATATATTTAATACATATCAATTCTAAATAAAATTTTGTCATGACCATATACATTTGAAAATTATTACCTAAATTCTAGAGAAATTATCATAATTTGTACTACTGATATCATATAATCTGAGCTTCAAATTTTTAGATGGATTTTAAACATGATATAGCATTATTGTCTTCCAATCAATTCCCATCAACTGCATCATCATTTATTAAAATCAGCATTTTCCCTCTTACAAGGTGTTACTGACTTTTGTGCCATGATGACCCCTACTTCTTCTTGCCTGAGGCATCCTCTTCATTTTATACCAAACCTTACTGGTGTCTTTTTTTCACCATATCTTTTCATGAAATCTTCATATAATCTTCCTCTCCCTCATATGCCATCCACTTCCAGATCCCAAGTTCTTGGTTCTTGGTTAATATTTTTTTATACTGTGCAAGTATATCATTACTTTCAAAAGATATTATTCATACAACTGGACGATTGATAATACTAAGAAGAAAAAACAAGATAAAATATATATCATATCGTTTTTAAAGAGATATATTGCTGAGAAGACAAATAGTTTACATTCAATATGCTTAAAGGGATCCGGTAACTTTGTCTCAGATTCTGAAACACAATGATAATCATAAACTTTTAGGTCAGTCAGGAACCCCATGACTTTTACAAGTCGATCGCCTGACTGATTATCAAGATATTTATGATTGGAATTACAAATTTTGACTGATAACACTACAGTCTATTGGGGAAAACGAGTATGGTATAACCGGTTACTCAAAGATTTTTACTTTTTTGAGGCACTTCTTGATCATTTTGAAGCGCAATTTTTTTTTAGGGTTTCAATATTACACCATATCACAGATACTGATAACACATAGGGCCGTGCATCTCAGATTTAATATTGTTAAACAATGCCTTTAAAAAAAGAAAAAACAGAAGTTGAACGTACTGTGAGCTGACATGACCCCAAGGGTCATGATGGCATTTCTTCTGACGACCTTCTCCTCTGATGCAATCAGCTTGAGGAGGTGTTCACCTGCTCCAAGCTCAAGAAGCATTCCACGGTTTTCATCACCTGTGAGGAGGAGGAGGAGGAGGAGCATATGATAACAATGAATGTAACAATGATGGATTGTATGTACCGTACATGCCCTAGAAACAATTGTTCTGTGGTCAATTTCCAGCAGTAGTCACAATTGTTAAATACAACCCCTGGACTACCTGCTAGTGCTACATTTCTAACTTTACCCCATTCAAACCCAATTGTATACCAGGGCCGGTATTCAACAAAATATCGCTCATAGCCAATGCTGGATGACACAGTGATAGTAAAAACTACAAAATATATACATTTAAAAATAATCACCTCTTTGCTGAAACATATGATATCTGACAAAACATCTACACATACATTTAAACTGAATAAATACAAACAGCATCTGAAATGACAAACAAACCTATACAAAATTATAGAGCTAAATCTAATATGTTCATAAAACTGTACGGTGCTATGATATGGGAGGCATAGGATGTCTTTTTTTCCCCTCTTGTTGTACATACCTTCACAATATCATCAAAATAAGAAAAGAAGCCTTTTTTCTTGTGAAAATACATGTATATAAACACTTTTAGGCAGTTTCAAAAATTATTTTAATTCCCATCATTCTGAATTACACATGTGTAGTACACAAGGTTGAAGCCTCACACTTATGATACCCGAACATTTAACAAATTGAATGACTAATCTGACCATTTCTTACATTTTTCAGCAAATTTGTAGAGAGCTTCACAACCCTTGACAAGTATTTCTTCCTCTGGACTCTCTAACATAAGAACCACTGTAGCTGCTTTCTTGCTCTCCACGGCCAAAGTATCAAACTGTAAAAAACAAATGGAATAAGAAGTTTCTATTATACAAACATTGCTTTAATCATCTCCACAACAAAAAAAGTTGGCTTGAGCTTGGAATATGGTTGAAAAATTATGTTATTCACTTGTACATTTCTCCAGGAAGCGTCAGGGAATAGAGAGGGAAAGAGAAATAGAGAAAGTGGAAACAAACAAAAACAAATACATTCTCGTACCCACTACCCCCATGCAGATTTTTTTTTTTTTGCAGAATAGATATTGATTTGCATCTTTCTTATGATTTATAATAATAATTTGTTTTTGTAATGCAGCATGATTTCAGTAAATTAACATATACAACATTTTCTTACCACATCCTTTGGCGGCGCTTCCGTTTCTTTCTTGGTTTTCTTGCCCATGTTGCTGTATAATTACCTGAGTTTTACAGAGAAAGCAATGAGGAAACAAGAATTTACATTCCAATGTTGACCTTTCAGCAAATCAAACTTCATTGGTACAACGGATTAAATTATTATATACCATCATCATCAATTCATAATGTGAATTAGACTTTAGAGCCTAGATGTACTTGCATGAATTTAATGAGGATCTGAAATTAAAGTCGCTTACTTCAAGCAGGCGCACACGCCCGCCTGAAACCCACTTGTATTGTGCAGCGGTTTGCTGAGCAACCTGTGACAAAAGTCAGAAGGGGCGCTGTTCCGAGAATTAGGATCGTCCGCATAAACGGGGATATCCTCGTAAAAGAGGACAAATTGTGTCCTAAAAAATATAGATCACCTACATTTTTGTGGACGTTTTTTTCTTTGGTGCTCTGCGGATGGAGAGTTCCCGATCCGCGCACTGGCAAAGCGAAAAAGCGGATTCTGCTGAATAAAATACCCCCAGCTCACCGTCTACTTTTATGGGTTGTCCATCTTTCAGAGGATTATTGGTCATAACGTGAAAGGCTCTGTACAAAGTCAATGTGAAATAAATCAAGAAAATAATCGTGCAATCCGTTTTTTCGCATCGCGAAGCGCGGTTCGGAAATATAAAACGTCCACAAAAATGTGGACGCGTCTATCCGCGTTTACAGAGACGTTCCCTTTTTATGCGGACGATCGGACCAGCGCCCCTACTGACTAAGTAATGTCTTTGATTCTATTTTTAGGAAAAAATACTCCAAACCAATTCCAAAAAGATGAGAAAATTTCAAAATTGACATTCATCAGGTAAGAAAGATAACGACTTTTAGGCCTAACTTTAGATTCTAGATCTAAATCATGACCATTCATTTTATTTGAACAATTGTGGAAGATTGATATAATTTTTAGAGTGTAATAGTCTAGTAAGCTATCTCCAGGCCGGAGCTACGACTTACGGGTTCAAAGTTTGGTCACGATCACACTCACAGTCACAGTTGTGAACAAGCGGCGATTTTGTTTAGACCCTACCCCTTCATAAAAAAGTTCATGACCTTAATTTCCGACACGTAAATGAACGTGCGGGACCACACTGAGACAAGTTGCTTCAATTTCTACAGGTCACAGAGAATCCTCTTCTGCCAGTCAGATTCGTGATAAATGCCACACACACTAAACCATCACACTAAATAAATATCAAAATACATAGTACAATGAAAATTAATCATGAAAGGGTATTGCAAAGTTATCGTTGAATGAAAATAAAATACCTACTCAAATCACCTCAACGAAAAAAAATATTGTTTTCAGCTGTTGCTATGTTATTTTTCATGATCTAAACATAATTTTCTTCATTGGTAGTATTATAAAAATCAATTATTATTCATTTTTTCCCGAAATAAATTAAATATTTCTTTGTATTTTTAAGAACAGAAAAAAGAATGTTATTATATACTTTTTAGCCGTACTTTCTATCTTTTTAGAAACAGTTTTATCGAACCATTTTCTCCCATAATGCATTTTTGTGAAAATGGCATCTTACGTAAGTCGTCTGCTTGGACCGTCTCTTCGAGTTTTTGCCAAGTTTGAGAAAAACTCTGGGGTATGTATGCAAAATTATACTCATTTAATAAACATTTTGTCTTTCAGATAACACAAGTATCACTTATATAACAAAGTTCTTCGTTTTTTATGACAAATCGTCAAGCTGTCTTGTAAGATCAACTTACATCGGTCCCATGTACTTGTAATAATGTTGGTAAAGTTGTGTAGGCCTATAACAAAATGGGCGCCATTTAATTTCTTGATTGTTATTCAGTTTCAGGTTATTACAATCTTAATTGATATTGATTTTGAGTTTTTGAATTCATGTTATTATATGTAGTTTCCCTAGATTTTTAAATATCCTGATATTTATTTTATCTAGACAAGATCGAGACCTAACACTTTTTCTTTTTCTTATTCTTTTTATTTGTTTTCCTTTTTTTTCTTAAGGTATTAAGAGGGAGTGCTTGCCTTCTTTCACATCAACCTCCTCAAGGCGAACCCCCCATTCCGGAATGGAAGCAGCCGCAGAATGAATCTATGGAGCTGAAAAGAGCAAGACTCGTTTATCAGAGCCGCAAAAGGGGAATGCTGGAAAATGGAATTATTTTAAGGTACTTTTCCATCACATTTATTGATAACGTGTACTTCTTGATGGAACAAACGACTGCAAGTTTCAACACATCTGTATATAATGATGATGATGATGATGATGACATGCAGTCACAGTGATGATGATTAAATCCGTTCTTTCCACATGGCTTCCTTGGCCCAACTCTCTTGGCTCTTTTATAGTTTCCATTGCCAATAATGGCAATATATCAATTGCCTGGAATATTCCTAGTTCTGCCTCCCTCACCCCATCTCTCTCTCTCTCTCTCTCTCTCTCTCTCTCTCTCTCTCTCTCTCTCTCTCTCTCTCTCTCTCTCTCCTCTCTACCCTGTCTCACCCTCTCTCTAGTTTTAATTTCCCCCACATATATTAATTGTAATGTACTTTACATACATCTAGGCCTTTATCAAAGTTTTTCATATCGGTGAAATAAACAAATTGTAAGAGTTCAAATTAGACTTATTCACTACTAGTATTTGTTATAATTACTATTTGTCATTTTCATCAGTTTATATACCTTGAATACCAAGGTATATAAACTAATGAAAATGACGAAATGTTTTAATCTTTGTTTTATCTCCTCGTTTTACAGCACATTTGCCGGACGTTATTTAGAAGGCTTTGATGAAGAGCAACTGGATCAATATGATAACCTGATTAATAAGCCAGATAATGACTGGGATCTCTTCTACTGGGTTGTACGTAAGTCACATGAATAAGGATTTTAATGATTTGTAAATTGGCAACCAACACATCTTTTTGACACAGAAGATATTTCTTTGAATCATAGAATTGTATATATACATTAATTATGTTTTCAAATCTGGTTCATATAATCCTTATTGTTTTCATAGTGATCAAAGTTTATTGAAAAGAGTATAGTCTTTTGTGACTGTTGGTCAACAATTACATGTACATGTATGTTTCTACCCAGGATACATTACAGAGTGCTGTGAAGAGGCTTATATTGACTGACAAAGATATTTATTCTGTTGATGTTCCTTTTTATTTTCATATACTATACACAGACAGTCCTTCAAAGTTCTTTCAAGAGAGTATGAACTATGATTAGGCCTACTTGTTTTTATATCCACAAAGTTCCATATATTACACAATGTCCCTAAGCATCCCTTTTGTGTCTTTAAGAAGCTAATTTTACTTTTGTTGATATTGTACCATCGGCAATGGCTTTTAAAGCTTTGTAGGATGACTTCAAGTAAATGTATTAATGTATCTCCTTCTTGATATGACATTCTTAACTAGAAATGATGATTTATCCCTGGACAAAAATCAAGGAAAGTATTTGTATTAGCTATAAGTAGTGATACATTCTGTCATAAAAATAACCTATAGTTTTTGGAATGATTCTCGATCTCATGCTAAACTCGTACAGTGCCTTGAAGAGGCTACTTTTAGCTGGCAAAGTAAACAACTTATTTTGATATTCCCATCATTAACTATCCCACAGAGCACAAACCAACACCCGAGGAGTACGATCATGGAGTCATGGATCTACTGAAGACGTTTGCTAAGAATCCTGACATGGAATCACGTATCAGACAGCCTGACCTTGCAGAGACTGAGCAGAGACATATGTAAAAACCAACCAGGGCTCAAGACCTATGTCGCCTATCTTACGAAGTTAATTGTTTGAGCAGAGACATACGTGAAATCAACTGGGGATGGGGCACAAGTATTGGACTATTTTTTGTAAAGTTGAACAAGACTAGATAAAACTAACCGTCTACTGGCTTCGGTCAACTATTAGAACAAACAGGATTGCCACAGACAACTTTTGTTCCACTTACACTCTACGTGTATAATGTACTAGTCCAGGGTTTTGATCCATAGATTAAAGGTAAAGATCAGTTATGGTTATACGATTGCATTGTGAAAGAAACGTTGTGGAATCGATCAGAAAAGGTTGATCATCTAGCATATACATTGTATAAGTATTGGTGTATACTGCAAGGTTCTGGAATCATCAAAATGATAAGAAATTTGGCCCAGTCTTGGTAAAGTTACAAGCACTGTACACAGACAGATGTATATGAGACTATGCGACACGTGCATGACACGTGCACAATATCTATCAGGTCCAAATAGATATAATAATTTACAAAATATATCAATTAGTAGGCAGTTCCCCGGCAAATTTGTATCATCACGTATTAGTCAAAACATATTCTTTCACATGATTGGTAATAAGAGCTTCCATTTCATTTTTTTAGAGGGGGGCATTTCCAAAACTGGTCTTTACCTTTAATAATACAGGGGGATAGCAGGCACTTTTAATACTGCCTGTTAAGAACCAGGAGGGCATTAACTTTAACTGTTTTACATACTTTCTGGCCCTCAGCAGGCATACATGAAATCAACCAGGGATGGAGACCTAGCTAGAATTTGACTATTTAGTAGAGAATAAAATTGATCCTACATTCAGTCTATGAGGCTTAACAGTAGAAGAGAGATTGGTGAGGGTTGTACATGTGTGTGGATATCAAATTCATGTTGTGCTCTCTTTTCCCAGCAATCTAATGTCATACTCCCATTTTTGGGGAAATAATTATGCATTATCAAGTTTTAACTAAATCTTTGTTCGCTCCTACCTTCAAAAAAGAAAGGCATATAGCAAGGTTTTGTGAAGTGTAAGCCTACTTGCAATCATGTTGATATTGATTACAATTCTTAACCCGATTGCTTCGGTCTTATTTCTTTGAAAGACTCGTCCATCAATGAGGTTTCAAACGTTCAACCATATATTAACATGCAAGATGTGCTCATTAACATGTACCTCAATTTAGTTGAATGAAGTGAAACAAATGCTCATAGATCTCACAAGCTCTTTGATTGTTTCATTAGGTTTTCATTAGACTTGTGCCTTGTTTTGTTTGGGAAATATTTGAGACCCTGCTTATAACATAGACCTACTAAGAATGGACTTTCAACGAAGCATGGACCTATATGCTTACAACCACCTCCATTTTAAAAGGTGTCCCACTATTGCGTGCTTGGATATTCATATATTGTAATTATTTACCCATGTATGCTGAATCTTGTTTTGAAAGTGGAAACTAAATGGAATCAAATTAAAATGGAAAAAAAATGAAAAAAAGATGACACATCCGTTTTATTTTAGGTTGTTAAACCAGAAAGCAGAAAGAATTACATGCATCTTTTAGCGGTTAGTCACCACATTTTTGACTGGGAAATATCAGTTTTGTTTACCCAGATACAACCTAAAGGTTATTAATCTTGGATTTGTCTTGTGCTGTGCATGTAAGATATATTACTTGTAAATGTAAATAAATATAAGAGTTATCCAAAATACCGCTGTCTTTTGATGTCATCTTTGTGTTCCTTGCCATGCTATTTCATTCTGACATGTATCTTTTTTTTTGGTGAGGGGCAGTGCCTGAATGCATCAGTTAATTCCAACTTAACACATTATCTTTACCCTTTATTTTCTTCAAATGTCTAAATACATTAGTAACTACATTTATCAGACCTTTTATCTCCATATAAGTACTGAAAGTACAGACTTATTCCAAAAAAATATTGACAGATATTTATTTGTTAGAATATGCTTTTATCCTTTCACTTACACACCAGTATATATGTTATTTTTTTCCAAGAAATTCTTGGTGAAAGAATCTTGTATGTGACAAAGCAGTAATGCCCCATGGGTACGAATGGGTCAATTCAGACTTCTATATCCCTACAAAAAAAAATCAGTGTATGGTACAACAAAAGTTCATTACATCATATAAATCTTTATTTTCCATCTTTTTTATTTCATTTTATTACATGAAATACATTACATAATACAGCACATACATGTTTACAAACCAAATTAGTATTACACAGTTACAAGTCAGTTTCAAAGAATTAGCAGCATGAATACACATACGAAATGAAATGTACATCTACTTCATTTTTGCACCGATCAAGAGATTCAAAATTGCATTCATCAGACAATATTCTTTAACTTTTAAAACAAATTATCTTGGGTATGATTGTTTATTTGCAAGTAACATTTTAAGCCGAGTTGGAGTATATCGGACTAAATCTGAAAAACAAGATATTTGAGAGAATACAAATGATGAATTATATTGGCAAATGATAAACGATTATAAATGACTGTTATATCATTTTCTTAAATAACCGATCTAATTGTTCATAACATTAAGAATAGATGAACAAGGAAGTGACCGATTTCAATATGCAATGTACATGTAGTACAAATATTGATTTCGAACAGGTCTATTACTGTGAGAAAAAAATAACTATCCTAAAAGGTTGTTTAAATCAAACATCACATACATCGTGGTGTAGGTTACATTTATGTACACACCACAATAATTAATTTCACAGAATATTTATTTCACTCTTTCATTCAAAGCAAATTTCATACCGAAACCTACTATTAAGGAAAAAAGCAGAAACGCTGGATAACTGAACGTGTCATGTTTGGTTACTGCATGTCATTATTGAATGAGGCAGGAACTTTGTTTGCAAATCGCCATGTCCTATATCTCAATGACCTAGCTCAGTAACTACTACAATCGTATTGCACTAATTTTCAATAATTTTTTTACCATTATCAAAAAACATCAGTTTACGGTTACGGGCATCATCATTTTAATTTACGAGTCAACAAACCATCGAACTCTAGATGTCAGTGGTTTACGCGAAATCAGTCAAAAATGTAGGACAGGTAATCCCATAAAGGGTTGACCATTCCGTATGTCATCCTGTCTCATTGGGCCCATTTACATTCATAATTTCTGCATATCTCTGGAGTTAGGACAGTAAAATGTAATAAAACATGTATAAATGTAAAACTGTCTTAAAAGTATCAGAAAACTATAGCTTTTGTGCGATTATAGAAAGACTGAAAAATCGAGGAATGACAAAATGCAAAAAGAGGTATTTTACCCCCATACTTTCAAAAATGGAACATTAATTGTCGTTTAGAAATCAGGCACACTGTTAAACCCTTGGTTTGAATCTACATCTTTTTTATTGAAATAATTAAAGGGAAATCCTACCCAAATAGACAACTACTCTAAAAAAAAAAAGCAGAAAAATCAGAGAAGCAAACCGATGAAAGTTTTAATTAAATGACTAAATATAAGAAAGTTATGAATTTTGAAAGTTATAATCACTATACGTATGGACACTTCAAATTAGCTGAAAGGGTAATGTCAATGTGATGTAGTGCCAGGCTACTTTCCCATCTGTTCCATCATATAAAATGACTTTAAAAATTCATCACTCATGAGGGTCTATTCTTTTTAGAGGACCTATGCTAATATAATATCTATAATATATTTGTGAGTAGCGGCCCAAGGGAGAAGGAACTTAACAGAAAAACATAAATTAATTTTATTTTTGTACACGGCAAATGGGAGAGTTGTCCACGTCCTACGTCACAATCCACTAACCAAACTATCGATTTGAGATTTGCATAGACTTAGTGATCTCATATTTCAAACAGTCATAACTTGCTGACTATTGTTCTGATTCATTTCAAACAAGGGTTGGATTGCCCTTTGAAGTAGACATTGATATAAATGAAATATATATCATATACATGAATGAAAGCTCATGATCTTAAGAAATTGAAAAGTTTCCCAGGAGAGAAACGGTGAACTGGTAGGTAGGATGACGAAAGCCTTTATGACATCAATTGCCATATGCCCTCAGGGTGACCATATGGTAGCAATACTCCCCAGGGAGTGGAGATGTTGCGCACTGTGCATATGAATTCGATGACCAGGGTGATAATACTATCAGTATAGCGCTTAGATACAGTATTTCGAATTAAGCGCTATATAAATCCTGATTTTTAATCGTATTCATGTCCTGACCATGGCACTTTTACGCTGTCACAAGCTTATTCTTTGCTGAACTTTGCAGACATGTCTTCTAGTATCGTCATGAGTTTCTCTTCATCTCCAGCTGATGATTTGGTCCATGCCAGAGGAAGATGCTTCGACTGAGGTTTGCGATCTGAAACCAAGAAAACATAAAATATATATGAAAATAGGACCTCAAAGGAAAGGGCAGGAACATTCTCTATCAATTAACAGAGTAAACAAAGAAAAGAAGTAAGGTTAACATAAATTGAGTGCATGACAGAGAGAAATAGAGAAGAGAGGAGAAAAATACTTCACTGACAAATACAAACAGTAGATGTGACAAGACAAATCAATTTGACTGAAGAAACAGAATGATAGTGTTGACAAGAGAAAAAATATGAGAAAAAGATATGTCAGTATGGGCCACAATACCAAGATATAGAATTCTGGATACATTCAAAAGAAGATATTCACATGTAGGCCTGTTATCACCATGACCAGTACAGCAAGACTCATTAACAGTAGACGAGAAGATTGAGAGGGAGAGGCAATGGAAGAGAGAGAGAGAGAGACATACAGAGACAGGAAGAGAAAGCACAAAAGAGAAATAAAGATAGAAAATAAAAGAGAACAAACACAAAACAAATAGAGAAATAGGGAAGGAAGGAAGGTAAAAGAAAGACAAATGAATAATACACCAGGCGAGTGTTTCACATAGACTAAGATCAAATTTAGGTTGGAATTAACTATGGCAGGCCATTCATGCCACTAGTTCCTCTAACCATTCCCGGCATTGGTTTCTCAAGGGTTGTATAAATCATGGTCAAAAATCCACACAATTTTTAAATATTGTATAGTTCATTATTGAAGAAGAAAATATTATCTAAAGATCATAACAGTGAGAGCAAACAGTGGCATGAATGACCTACCATAGTTAATTCCAACTTAAAGTCGATTTTAGTCTTTGTGAAACACTCCCCACAATCATCATAACCGCTATGACTTACCCAAGTAAAAGCCTCCACTCTCTGCATCCAACGGAGCCTTAGCCAGGCACAACCAAATGACCGTGTCTGCTCCCTGCTCTGGGGATCTCAGTTTATCCTTAAACCTTGCATGGAAGTCTGGCATGGAGTTCTGTACAGCCGGTGTATCAGCCCAGCCTGGATGCATCGTGAAGAACTTGATCTCGGGGTACTTCTTGGCCCACTGCTCCGTCATGATCACTTGCTGACGCTGTGAGTCATTTTTAAAATATGACAAAATTAAAGAAAAGGAGAAAAGAGTGATAGGCACCAGTGGCAGAAAATAGAAGCAAAAGATATGAAAATCACACGAAACAACACTTTCATTCATGATTACCAATAAATTATCTCTTTTAACAAAATTATTGCATTCTTTGGTCATTTGATCCACAATCAAACAAAACAGTACAAATCAAAAATTAGATTAAATCTATCAAAATAAAATTTGTTGATAATGTTAGGAGTTTTAATAAGTTCAAAGATAAAGACGAGTTCTGGACATGCAATAGGATCGTAAAAGAAACCGCCTGGAAGCAATTTAGAAATGTTGATTATGAAGTACATACATGTAGGAATTGGTGCATACTGTGAGGTTTGGGAATCATCAAATAGAAAAGAAATTGATTCAATCTTGATGAAAACCAGAAGTACTCCATGCCAAATTGGGTATATGGGACTACACAAAAGTGGGATGACTTTTTGGTCCCAACACATCAGCTAGTTCTTGTCTTCATATTTTTTTAGTATGAAGCCATTCAAAGGGCAATCCTATTCAGGGGACATTTCTATCAAGACTTCATCAAAAACTGACATAAAAAGATTTTGAAGGCTCACAATTTTTAAAATAATAATAATAATAATAATAATAATAATCATTTAAAGTCCACTCCAATTTTATTAAGTTAAACCGGAAATGGAAATTCTTTTTGCCCAATTGATCATGAGCCCGGCAGCCACTAAACAGCGCTAGATCGACGTTGCTATATCCCTTATTGTTGAACGCCAAACAATTAACCCACGACCTCCTGGTTGTGAGGCGGACGCTCTATTGACTGAGCCAACACACCGGTTTTTTCCCTCTATAACTGAATTCAACAGTCTCTTTAAGCCAGGTCAATTACTTGCCAAAAACTTTTGATAATGTGCTTCTTTTTTTAAAGAGACTGTTCAACTTGTAACCCCGCATTCTTGGGTCGATGAAGAAAAAAATATGATGACAATTTTTTTTCTTGCAGGAGACAAAGATTCTGAGCTTACTTTTTGGTTTGCATACGACATCGTTCCGTCAAAGGTGGCCGTCTTCTCACTTTGTAAGTTATTCAGATCAAGCTTCTGTGTGTACATTCCACCTGAAGATACTGTTATCTGTGAAGAGGGTCAATTGTGAATATTAGGGGAATTCAATAAGAACCTTTTGTCTGTTTGGAGTAAACAGCTACAATTGTACCCAGTATAATAAATAAAACAAGTAATATAATAATAATAATGATAATTATAATAATAATGATAATAATAATAATAATAATAATGATATGTCTTGTTTACCCAGGGTAGCCTCATCAGTATTCATACAGTTCTACCTGAGGACCCTACAATCATACCATTACCCCTGCTTTAACCGAGCTACCATGAAAAAGTGCTCAATCATTCGAGGAATTTCTTCCTACCGGGTACCCATTTACCTCACCTGGGTGGAATATGGCAAATATAGATTAATGTCTTGCCAATGGACAATAGTACCGTGGCACTTTACGTACCACTCTCGAATTCTCTGCTTTCTGTAGAACAGGTATGAGATGTGATGTGAGGATGTACGTCCCTAGGGCATTTGTAGCAAAGTTGAACTCATACCCAGCGGAGGTCATCTCACGTTCATTCACCATGCAACCAGCATTGTTTACCTAGAGTGGAATAAGAATATTGATGACATTTATGGGCTGGTATTCATGTAAACTCATAGAAGTGAGACAAGGCTCATTGAAAACCTAAAATGTGCATGGTCAAATATTACAATTATACAGTGAGGCATACCTCTGTATCCTCTCTAGATCGACAATGGCTGAGAATAACTCTTAGTGACATTATGAGATAATGATGTATACAATGTTTTTATAACTCACTTTACTTTTTTTAATACACGATGTTGTCGGTCTAAGCCTGTTCATCAATCCAGGATTCTTCCATGGTTACTGCTATTTGTGAAGGGAGGAGATTGTGTGCTAACATGAGACAACAGACAACACCTAGACCGGCTCATACAGAAGGCTTGCATTCTTTGACCAGTGACTATCAAGTCTATTCTTAAACACGTTGACGAGTTGGCTATACAAAGTATGTGACAATCAACCAGTAACTCACCAGAACATGTAATTCCTTTCCACTTTCTGCAAACTCCTTGGCAAAGTCTGATACTCTCTGTGAGTCTGACATATCAACAATGTGAAGAAACACTTTCTGGAAAGACCAATTAAAAAAGAACGTCTTATTAGCAATATATATAATATCTGTTAACTTTTTAACACAAAACATTTTGCATGTAATAATAATATTGATAATAATTATCTTGTATATACAATTAGAAAGATAACACAATGAGTAAAAAAATTAATCTATATCTCTATGAATCAATTTATATAGTGATTGCTGGGTTGTTTATTCCTTGCCTCTCCTGAGAAAGAAACCTCAAAATTATGATTTTTCTATTTCAAAAAACAAATTAGTCTAATTCTGCTGAGAGGGGATGGTTATTATTTCCCTCTGATTTCTTAATTACTTGTTTGTTCTAATTGTGTCTGTCTATTTTTAATGACTTATTTTCCTGAAAATCCATTAAAAGTGTCGCATTAATTACCACCCAAGAGTATGTTTTCTTTGAAATGTATATTTTATCTCCCAGTATTATGAATACTTCTTTGTATAACGTACCTGATTTCCTGTAGTAGTTTCAATCTCTTTCTTTGCTTCCTCTCCTCTCGTCTGATTCCTACAAATCATATGTACTGTGCCACCTGGAAAAAAAGAAAAAGAAAGACAATGAAGGTGTGGCTTTATGGAGTCTTCACTACAGGACAGCCAAAAAAATCCAAAAACATTCTCAACTTTGTCTAATCAACTATTCATGAAACCTTGTGCAACAATGGGGTCAACGTACAACAGAAACCCAAATTATGTATTCTTTTATCAATATTTGTCCTCAAACACATCTTTTAGGGGGAATCTTTGCAGAAGTGTGTCTTAAATGACATCCTATTTCACATTATGATACAATTCAAGTGAAATTTTGCCCTCAAATTTTTGGCGAATTTGGAGCTCCCAACACTTTAGAGGGGATTTAAGCTGTATTTGTGTTTATGGCCTGTATGCCTTGCTTAGAATCACATATTCCTTCTATTTAAGTGCTCAAACATCAGTGGATTTGGGGTGTGATTTAATGTATTCTAATGACATACAAATCACTCTCTTCAAAGATGTGGTTCCCTTTCTTTAAGTTACCTCTTTGTGCCACTGCTAGAGCGGCACTCTTGCCGATACCACTGTTAGCACCAGTGATGAGGAATGCTTGGCTAGAAACATCAACATCCAATGCTGCCTTGTCAAACGACTTTGCTGCGTGCTCATAGCCACTCCTGAATATATCATAAATAGTAAAATAATAAAAATGAAAGAGAAAGGGATTATTACATTTGGATAAATCAATTTAGTTGTGAGTTCTATTTTTGCTTTGTATCTGGTAGAAGTAATGTGCCTAGATCTAATCATAATTACTTTTCAATTCCATATTTTTCAGAGAAGTACTAAACAAAATCTAGGAAGTATTTGAATTTGGATGATTTAGTGTGGACTGGACCATACTGTATTTACCATACTGTTAACTTTGGCAAATTTTTTGTTTGTTTTTTTGCAGCGATAAATTTTGTGAGTTGCAACATTTTATCGTGATGATTAATTCACTGAATGGCATGAAACTTTTGCATATCAGCACATAATGCTTGATTCATGAATGAAAAGCATTGCTTGAGTCATGAAATAGACCAGTCTGTAGTTAGCACATAGTCAAAATGACCTAAAAATTTCCACTCATTTTGTACTCGTAACATTAGGAACCAGAGCACTATAACACTGAGTTCCCAGGACATATATTTATTCAGATGGTCATATCTCAGCCAATACTTAACATATTCAATTGGTTTTCAACATTCAGACATTATTTTTGATGCTCTTTTGGAAAATACAGAATAAATTGGGAAATTCTAAAAATAGATTTTTATGATGTACTCTATTGCCTTTGCTAAAAGCCATAAGGATGCTCTGGCTGGCAGATAAAGAACAAACATTACAATACTAGTTGTTTAAGATCAATTAATCTACTAATGTTTACACTAGAGCTTAAAAAGTCAGGAGGTTGGCCTCCATTGACCAATGTAAATTCCAGCTGACCATTAATATCTACATGTAGTGAACCTCAGAATAACTTACTTGCAGAATTCTCGAAGTCCCTTGACTATGAACACACTGTTCCTATAGATACTCATGATGGAACCAAACGGCCAGAAACATCCAATCAAAACACCAAATACGCACAGGAATAGGACAGTCTTTGGTAGGTGCATCAAAGCAGATCTTCTGCTTTCTTCCGTTATCTTCAGAGGACTATAAGGAATACATCAATTGAGAAGAAGAACAAAAATATTTATATCAATGATGGTAACAAGATAATGAAAATGAATGCAACTGTGTTTCCACTAGTTATATCTCCAGTTCAGTTTATTAAATATACCTGTTACAGTACAGTGTACACTAAAGATCTACATTTTTACGTAGTTAGTATGGTAAATTATTCTTTGGTTGTACGGGGTATGCAGGAGTACTAATAGCTAATTTGGTTGGCTGCAATCAGAATGAAAAAATTTAAAATTCTGATGTGTTCGACCCGGTGCATTGAAGAGTACTAGAGTACTAGATCTAGGTGACCCATAACTGCCTGTTGAAAGGCAAATACTTGATACTTGATGGAGTAATCCCTTAAGCAGCTCGCACAAGGAGCTATACTGTTAGTGTTAGTATACACTGGGATGGTAAAAAGTATTGAGTATCTAGACTACAGCTACCTATACAGCTAGTCCGTCTCCCAGATGGAGAAAATTCCACTTGCAAACAACAAGAACTGCATCTGAATTGATCAACTTGCCAAAACTCACTTTGACTTCTTCTTCAAAGACTTTTCGGCGCTAGTGTAGCAAGGTATCCAAAATATAGCCTACTAAAACAGACCCCAAATTTCAGACCCCTAACCCTAACCCTAACCCTAACCCTAACCCTAACCCTAACCCTAGACAAACACGAAATTTGGGGTCTAAAATTTGAGGTCTGTTTTAGTAGGCTATATTTTGGATACCTTGCTACACTAGCGCCGACTTTTCATTGTCTTGTGGCGACCAATTATCTTAAACTCATTATAAATGTCGTAGACTAGACGCTCATAGACCCTAACAGAGATCACAACCAGTTAATAATTAATAGCAGCCAAGCCAAGGAAAACGAATTGGAACTTCGCCCGAGCTATAATACCGCACCAGTCCCAGTTCGGCTTTACATTTAGAGAACACGCTACGACTGTAAAATCTGTACGCAGTCTGTAATTCATAACAACTCACCGAGTCTAACTCATAATATTCTGCTACAATTCTCTCAATCTTAATTACTGCTAACCATAACAAAAGATATAAAAATACAGATTATACTCCAATACCTTTATGAACCAGAAACACAGCAACCGGTCACTCCACTGTTTGTTGAACTCGTAGTCGTATGAATATGTTCACACTGCACTTTTCAAATTACACAACATTATCAGCTGTTCATGACGTCACAGCAGGCGCTCTCGTTGTATAAGAATGACGTCATGATAACTTTCATCCAATGAAAATATGTAATTCGATCAAGTTCCTCGCCAAATATGAATTTGTAAACGGTCGCACTTGACACTTGGTGAGGTAATCCCTGAAGCAGATTTTCCAAGCTATACTGGGATTAGACCGAAAGCTTCAGTCTCTATAATCGTCGGTTGTTTCACTGAGACTACGTCTGGCTCCACTAGACCTCCGGTTATAGAGACTGAACGACTGCCTATGCCAGCCTGTGTTGAACTTATTCCGCTAGATTTTAGCCGCTAGGCCCCTCCCACAAACTTGCCACGGCCGTATTGTTATGCCCCCAAAATCCCCCAAAATGTCATTTTACCTCGTTCATTTCCAATTTTAAATTAGGCCTAGGCTATAATACATCGGTTCCACTTACTAACTTGATTGATATAATCCGTTTAATGGTCCCTTTTAAGGAAATTATCGGTCAAAATCGACATCCATGTTGAAAATCTTGCAAGCCGTGTTAAACTCTCGCTGCCGTCCATCTCGGTAGCCTCTAATCGGGCACATCTACAAGGAGGTCAATGAATATGCATATCAGTGACGTCTTGTCAAGTCATGAATATTGATGTTCTTGACTGCGCGCGTACGATCGTACGTACGTACGTGCAGAATTGGGGTCATGACTGTTCAATGAAGGTAATACGTGCAACACAAATCAGGGCAAAATCTTACCATTATACAGTTGTATTGTCCGTGATTATGAGGTAGAAGTGTTTGAGTGTTAAGTAAATTTATTTAGTGTGGATTTTGATACATTTTTGATACAGTTTACACAAAATTGGCGATTCTTTTGGTCGTTTTTTAATTTTAACTCCAAAAAACAAGTGACCAACTCGGTCGTCGGCTAAACCACCTAGCCCTGCCTGTAGATGTGCCCGCCTACCTCTACAGTCATGTGCCCGATCGAGATAGATCGAGTTAGTGTAATAAAATAGTATTCTATATTCAATATCCGAGAGTTCACGGATGTAACATTAAAGCTCCCTTATATATGAGTTTCACAAATATCAATTTATCTTCTTTTCATTGATTTTCGTTGGATTTTACGTGTTTTAAGTTATCAAACATGCACCTCCCTGTAGATGTGCCCGCCTCGAGCCCGCTACATGTGCCCGAGATGTGTAGTGAGGCATACAACCAGTGTTGTATATTGAATTTCCGACATGTCATGAATATAATAAAGCTCCTAAGATACAAACGAGTTTCATAAATATCAATTTATCTTCTTTTCATTGATTTTCGTTTGATTTTACGTGTTTTAAGTTATCAAAACATGCACCTCCCTGTAGATGTGCCCGCCTCCCGCTACATGTGCCCGAGATAGGGGAAATGTAGTGAGGCATACAACTAGTGTTGTATATTGAATTTCCGTCATGTCATGGATATAATAAAGCTTCCTAAGATACAATTGAGTTTCACAAATATCAATTTATCTTCTTTTCATGGATTTTCTTTGGATTCTACGTGTTTTACGTTGTCCAACAACCACCTCCCTGTAGATGTGCCCGCCTCCCGCTACATGTGCCCGAGATAATGGTGTAGCCAGACATTATAATATATATTATATCTATGCGTATCTTTCTTGCTCTCGACGTGGCGACTCCACCAAACATACCCCTTCTTTCTTACTCACCCCCTTTCTCTCAGGCTCTTACCCCCCCCCCCCCCCTCTCTCTCTCTCTCTCTTTCATCCCCTGTTTCTTTTGTTTTCTTTTTCTCTTTTTGTTTTCTTCTTCCTTTTTCCTTTTTTTCTTCTTTTCTTTCTTTTCCTTTCTTTCCTCTCCTCCCTCTTTTTCTCTCTCCTTTCTTTTCCTTTTTTTTCCTTTCTTTTCCTTTCTCTCCTTTCTTTTCCTTTTCCTATTTTCTTTTCTTTTCTTTCCCTCTCTTTCTTCCCCTCCCCCTTATCTCTTTTTTCCCGACGGCAGCGCAATTTTACCGACAATATCCTGACAGGTGGGGGGGGGGGGGGTTGTCGCACCCCCACACTCCCCTCTTTGGAGACGCCCCTGCTCGTATGCACTGTTTCGTTCTTGAAACACTGTTATATTATATTTACACAAACAAATTACCTTACAGAAAACATTAACATACCCAAAGAAAGTAGTCCGTCAAATGAATCATTATCAAACAAATAAATTACTCAAAAGTATACTGAGTAATAATCAACAATCATATTAAAGGATACTGATTTTAAATACAGGCCTCTACACTGTTAAACAAAGTTAAAAGGTAGGTGTTACCAAGCGCGGATCAAGGGAGGGCCGAGCCCCCCAGCCAAAAAAAAAAAAAAAGGAGAGAGCGAGAAGGAAAAGAAGGGAAAGGGAAAGAGAGAAAGGGAAAAAAGAAGAGGAAGAAGAAAAGAAAAGAGGGAAGAAGGAGATCGGGGGGGGGGGACTTGCCTTCCAGGCTGTTGCCCCCCCCCCCCCCCCAATCAAAAAATAAAAGAGAAGGAAGGAAAGGGAAAGAAAAAAGGAAAAGAGGAGATAAAGGGAATTAGGAAAAAAGAGGAAGAAGAAAAGAAAAGAAGGGGGATATCAGTTGCAATTTTCCCGCCAACAAGTTGTGGATAGGGGGGAAGGCCCTTGCCCCCCCCCCCCCCCCCCCCGTCCCTGCTAAAAAAAGAGAAAAGGAATGAAAAGGAAAAGAGGAGAGCTAAAAGGGAACAAAAAAGAGGAAGAAGAAAGGGAGAAAAGAAGGGGAGATCAGTTGCGGTTAATCCCGCCAACAACGTGTGGAGCGGGTGGGGGTCAAAATGACCTTGCCACCCACCCCCAGCAAATCTAAAAGAGAGAGAGGGAAGGAAGGGAAGGGAAAGGGAGAAAGGAGAGAAAGCAAAAGAAGAAAAAAAGAGAATGAAGAAAGGTATGGGATATCAGTTGCAATTCCAACAAGGTGTAGATCGGGGGGCATATGGAAACGTTGTATCATCCGCTCAATCTGACTTGCGTGCATAGAACAAATAAGCATTTTTCAATGAAAAAGTGAAGTTTTCTAAAATGTGCGTTACTTCCGAGCATTGGGGCGCCCGGAATTCACTCGGGTAACATTTCATAAAGTAAAATATAAAAAGACCATATGCAAATTTTCTGTACTTTTGTCGGAAAAAATACATTTATCCAGCACAATGTCGTCCCTTTTTGCGTTGGAGAAGAGCAAATAGCGAGTTTCAATCACACTTTGGCCGCTCTCGCAAGCTCTCACTCCTTTCACTGTGGTCAAGCGACTTTGGGGCAAGCGGTTAATGAAAATACTAATCGTTAGCTTTCTTCTGGTATTAAACTTGTTTTGATTGATTGTGTAATTTTGTCGGAATAAAGGAAACAAAAAGGCTCGACCAATAACTTTTCAGTGTCTGAATTGACCTTTTGACCTTGAATTTCCTTGATGCAAGCGCACTAATGACATCATCTTCGCTAAATCGGCGTCTTTTATCGTAAAATGCAACACTTTCACAATGTTTATACATCTTTTTTTAACTATCAGGAAGATTTAACATATTTTTTCTGATATCACTGAAGTTTTGGGTGTTATTTAATGAGTAATTTTAAAATAAGAGCCATTTTACTGTTTTATTTTACTGGATCATATCATTTAAGTCGCAGGGTAGAAAAATGCATTTTCCAACCGCGCCAAATTTAATTTACGTTTCGACATTCTGTTAAATGGGTTCGTGTTGTTAAGAATCCACTGCTTTCTGCTCCAACAAACGTCCACATGCGGAGTCGTTTATCAACTAAATTATTCAAATGTATGGAAGCTTCCTAGCTTCCCAGGTGTTTGTGTTGCTGTTGAAGCATTTCATTCACCTGCTATCATTCTTTGTACTCCAATTGCCAGAACGCAAATTTCATTTTGGTTTTATAGTTTCATCGGAGTCGTTTATTAACTATATGTATTCAAATGTATGAATGCTTCCTCCCCAGGTGTTTGTGGTGTTTATGCATTTCATTCACCTGTTATTATTCTTTGTACTCCAATGGTTAGAATACAAAATGCACTTTGGTTTTATAGTTTCATGCAATAAGTAAGTCAATAAAAGAGTATGTTCTGCACAATAAAAACAATGTGTGTCCCTATTGTACAATGTAATGTGTCCCCTCATTTTGTAATAGTTAATTTACCCATTCACATAATGGAACTACCTGCCCGATGAAGCCCGTGGCCTGTGACCCCTGAGCACTCAACACCGTGTGGGAGTCAGTTTGTGATCAACTTCTTTTATGAGACAAAAACAAGCAAACGTTTCCATATGGGGGGGGGGGGGGGGGGCTTTGGGGAAATAAAATTCAAACGTGGTTTATTTCTAATTCCATAACGGTTGTTTACAAATAATGGTGAAATGACATCCTTTACATTCATGTCGGAAATTCAATTCACAACAGTAGTTGTATGCCTATTTTCTACACTCCCCCTATATCGGGCACATGCATGTAGCGGGAGGCGGGCACATCTACAGGGAGGTGGTTATTTGACAACGTAAAACACGTAGAATCCAAAGAAAATCCATGAAAAGAAGATAAATTGATATTTGTGAAACTCAATTGTATCTTAGGAAGCTTTATTATATCCATGACACGACGGAAATTCAATATACAACACTAGTTGTATGCCTCACTACATTTCCCCTATCTCGGGCACATGTAGCGGGAGGCGGGCACATCTACAGGGAGGTGCATGTTTTGATAACTTAAAACACGTAGAATCCAACGAAAATCAATGAAAAGAAGATAAATTGATATTTATGAAACTCATTTGTATCTTAGGAAGCTTTATTATATTAATGACATGTCGGAAATTCAATATAGGCTACAACACTAAGTTGTATGCCTTACTACATATCCCCTATCTCGGGCACAAAGGCGGGCACATCTACAGGGAGGTGCATGTTTTGATAACTTAAAACACGTAGAATCCAACGAAAATCAATGAAAAGAAGATAAATTGATATT